CGGCTGAGTCCCAATATGTCCCGCTGGGACCGGTCGAGTCCCATTGTGTCCCGCTGTCACAAGCCGAGTGTCATTGTGTCCTGCTGGGACCGGCCGAGTCCCATTGTGTCCCGCTGTGACCGGCCGAATCCCATTGTGTCCCGCTGGGACCGGTAGAGTCCCATTGTGTCCCGCTGTGGCAAGCCGAGTCTCATTGTGTCCTGCTGGGACCGGCCGAGTCCCATTGTGTCCCGCTGTGACAAGCCGAGTCTCATTGTGTCACGCTGGGACCGGCCGAGTCCCATTGTGTCCCGCTGTGACAAGCCGAGTCTCATTGTGTCATGCTGGGACCGGCCGAGTCCCATTGTGTCCCGCTGTGACAAGCCGAGTGTCATTGTGTCCTGCTGGGACCGGCCGAGTCCCACTATGTCCCGCGGTAGTCGGCTGAGTCCCAATATGTCCCGTTGGGACCGGTCGAGTCCCATTGTGTCCCGCTGTGACAAGCCGAGTGCCATTGTGTCCTGCTGGGACCGGCCGAGTCCCATTGTGTCCCGCTGTGACCGGCCGAATCCCATTGTGTCCCGCTGGGACCGGTAGAGTCCCATTGTGTCCCGCTGTGATAAGCCAAGTCTCATTGTGTCCTGCTGGGACCGGCCGAGTCCCATTGTGTCCCGCTGTGACAAGCCGAGTCTCATTGTGTCACGCTGGGACCGGCCGAGTCCCATTGTGTCCCGCTGTGACAAGCCGAGTCTCATTGTGTCACGCTGGGACCGGCCGAGTCCCATTGTGTCCCGCTGTGACAAGCCGAGTGTCATTGTTTCCTGCTGGGACCGGCCGAGTCCCATTGTGTCCCGCTGTGACCGGCCGAATCCCATTGTGTCCTGCTGGGACCGGTCGAGTCCCATTGTGTCCCGCTGTGACAAGCCGAGTCTCATTGTGTCCTGCTGGGACCGGCCGAGTCCCATTGTGTCCCGCTGTGACCGGCCGAATCCCATTGTGTCCCGCTGGGACCGGCCGAGTCCCATTGTGTCCCGCTGTGACAAGCCGAGTGTCATTGTGTCCTGCTGGGACCGGCCGAGTCCCACTATGTCCCGCGGTAGTCGGCTGAGTCCCAATATGTCCCGTTGGGACCGGTCGAGTCCCATTGTGTCCCGCTGTCAAGCCGAGTGTCATTGTGTCCTGCTGGGACCGGCCGAGTCCCATTGTGTCCCGCTGTGACCGGCCGAATCCCATTGTGTCCCGCTGGGACCGGTAGAGTCCCATTGTGTCCCGCTGTGATAAGCCGAGTCTCATTGTGTCCTGCTGGGACCGGCCGAGTCCCATTGTGTCCCGCTGTGACAAGCCGAGTCTCATTGTGTCACGCTGGGACCGGCCGAGTCCCATTGTGTCCCGCTGTGACAAGCCGAGTCTCATTGTGTCACGCTGGGACCGGCCGAGTCCCATTGTGTCCCGCTGTGACAAGCCGAGTGTCATTGTGTCCTGCTGGGACCGGCCGAGTCCCATTGTGTCCCGCTGTGGCCTGTGACCGGCCGAATCCCATTGTGTCCTGCTGGGACCGGCCCAGTCCCATTGTGTCCCGCGGTGACAAGCCGAGTCTCATTGTGTCCTGCTGGGACCGGCCGAGTCCCATTGTGTCCCGCTGTGACCGGCCGAATCCCATTGTGTCCCGCTGGGACCGGCCGAGTCCCATTGTGTCCCGCTGTGACAAGCCGAGTCTCATTGTGTCACGCTGGGACCGGTCGAGTCCCATTGTGTCCCGCTGTGACAAGCCGAGTGTCATTGTGTCCTGCTGGGACCGGCCGAGTCCCATTGTGTCCCACTGTGACAAGCCGAGTCTCATTGTGTCCTGCTGGGACCGGCTGAGTCCCATTGTGTCCCGCTGGGACCGGCCGAATCCCATTGTGTCCCGCTGGGACCGGCCGAGTCCCACTATGTCCCGCGGTAGTCGGCTGAGTCCCAATATGTCCCGCTGGAACCGGCCGAGTCCCATTTTGTCCTCCCTGACACGTTCTAGAGACTTTTTCATACTCCAATGACGTCATATAATTTAACAGTGCTACCATATCTATGTCAATATACTTACAATACACCTACCTTGACTGTTTACGCCGCCGAGGCTATCGGTGACGCCTGCGCTACCGTTACCCCAGACTGCAAAGTATGGCACGCAGGTCGACGAGGCGCACCGGCCCAAGTTCAAAATCCGCACCAGCCCTTCAAACTGAGCCGGAAAATCCGCACCAAAGCGAGCCGAGAGCCCAAAATATCCGCACCGAACCCACAGGCAATTATAATGCAAGGGACTTCATTCATCTCACTATAATTATTTCCCCTCCAATTTCAGTTTCACGAGCAACGCTCACCACGGGACCGCGCCGCGCACTTGTATCGGAAGCAGTGGCGGATCCAAGGGGGGGGTCACATGGGTCATGGCCCCCCCTTGAGGCCCAGGGGCCCAAAGACCTGCCAGGGGCACCACCGGCCTATCAGGGGTATCACAGTCCTGACAGGGGCACCACAGGACCGCCAGGGGCACCACAGGCCTAGCAGGGACACCACGGGCCTGGTGCCCCTGGGCCCTGACAGGACTGTAACGCCCCTGACAAGCCTGAAGTGTCCCCGGCAGGCACGTGGTGTCCCTGACAGGCCTGAGGCGCCCCTGCAAGGCCTGTGGTGTCCATGGCAGGCCTGTGGTGCCCTTGCTAGGCCTCTGGTGCCCCTGACAGGCTTGTAATGCCCCTGGAAGGACTGTGGTGCCCCTGGGCCCTGACAAGCCTGAGGTGCCCCTGACAGGCCAGTGGTGCCCTTGCTAGGCCTGTGGTGCCCCTGGCAGGCCTCTGGTGTCCCTGACAGGCTTGCGGTGCCCTTGAAAGGACTGTGGTGTCCCTGGGCCCTGACAAGCCTGAGGTGCCCCTGACAAACCCGTGGTGCCCTTGTTAGGCCTGTGATGCCCCTGGCAGGCCTCTGGTGCCCTTGCTAGGCCGCTGGTACCCCTGCGCCCGGAGAGGACTGGTGCCCCTGAAAAGTCTGAAGTGCCCCTCGGCAGGCCCGTGGTGCCCCTGACAGACCCAAGGTGCCCCTGCGAGGCCGGTGGTGCCCCTGGCAGACCTCTGGTGCCCCTGGCAGGTCTGTGGCGCCCCTGGCAGACCTGTGTTGACTGGTGCCCCTGCTAGGTCGCTGGTGCCCCTCACAGACCTGTGGTGCCCCTGGGCCTTGACAAGCCTGAGATGCCTGGCTATGACAGGCTCGTGGTGCCCCTGATAGACCAGTGGTGCCCTTGCTAGGCCTGTAGTGCCCCTGGCAGGCCTCTGGTGCCCGTGCTACCCCTGCGCCCGGAGAGGACTATGGTGCCCCTGAAAAGCCTGAAGTGCCTCTCGACAGGCCCGTGGTGCCCCTGGGCCCTGACAGGCCCAAGTTACCCCTGCGAGGTCGGTGGTGCTCCTGGCAGGCCTCTGGTGCCCCTGGCAGGTCTGTGGTGCCCCTGGCAGGCCTGTGTTGACTGGTGTCCCTGCTAGGCCGCTGGTGCCCCTCACAGGCCTGCGGTGCCCCTGGAAGGACTGTGGTGCCCCTGCCCCTAGAGGTGCTCATGGGCCCAACAGGCCCGTTGTGCCCCTGACAGGCCTGTCGTGTATACTTGCTAGACCTGTGGTGCCCCTGCTTCCTGGCAGGCCAGTGGTGCCCCTGGCGGGCCTGTGGCGCCCCTACAAGGCCGTAGGTGCCCCTGACAGGTTTGTGGTGTTCCTGGAAGGACTTTGGTGCCCCTGACAAGCCTGAAGTGTCAAGGACAGACCCTTTAGACGCCAGGGTCAAGTTCGTCGGACTGACAACGATTTGCTTACCTGATAACGTTCCTGGTAAGTACTCACTACTCAGCGTCCACAACATATATACACATAGCACATTCATATATACTTGCTTACAATTGGTAAATGTGGTTGTGGCTAAGAGTTAAGATACTGACTAAAAATAAAAAATAAAAAGAAAAAAAACTGAAAATGGGGGCACCACCAAAATGAAGTGGACGAAATCCGTTGAGTTTTTAATTTTGGGTATAGGTAGGGGCACCACTTCGATTCATGACCCTCCCCTTGGAGTTTTCCTGGATCCGCCCCTGATCGGAAGTTTGAACGAGGTTTGAAATAGAGCAAATAGACGGACGCCGGTGACAAAAGGGCGCCGGAGGGCATATTGGGTCACGCGACATTCGGAACTTCTCCCCTCTCTGTGGGCCTTCTACATGCTAAATGTCACGTGTGAATTTGACGAGCCTTGATAAAATCGCCCCAACAAACTTTCGTATGAGTAAAACTAATGACGTCATTCCAAAGTAGCGTGCTGATTGGCAATTCAAACCAGCTGCTCGCAAATGTGACATACCAGTCACCACCGCAACCAGTCTTCGTTCTAATGACGTCGTCATCACGTTAATTTCCGAGGCGAGAATGAATTTGTTCTGCTGCAATTGTTAGTTCGCAGCTACGGCCTTGGTTCGTAGAGTAAATTTAAAACCTTTCTCCGTCACCGTGCGTCACCGTGGCTGGCAAGCATTTGTAGGGCTTTCCAAAGAACAGTCAACAAGGAAACCCGGCCGGGTAAGAAGACCAAGCGAAGTCCGCACCGCATCAAGGTCCAAGCCAAATCCGCACCGCACCAGGCAAAATCCGCACCGCACCACTCCAAAATCCGCACCAGCCGAACAAGCCCGCACCGACGAGATCTCGTCGAAATTGCCATACTTTGCAGTCTGGCCGTTACCGTGATTTTGTACTGAAATTTCAATGTGATTTGAGGCAGAAGTTGGATGCCTATTTGCACCAAAATTGAGCCAGTTTTATATAAAGCACATGTGTACACCTACTGATTAAGGCTATAGTGGCCCCATGTAACTTATGTAAATTAAATTAACTTATGCCCCATGAAGCTCTTTATCAGCATCCGGTGCAAAGTTCACGCCTTGGCCTCATGCCAGCAGTTGGGCGATGTGGTTTGATCTAAATTGAAATAACAATGATCATCCTTACCTTATTCATTGCAAGGATGTTGATACTAGGTGCTGAAAAACGACATCCCACTCATAATTGCATATTATCCCTGCCGACGTATCCCAATGACCACACTGATACAGCGAAAGCCATAATCGCTATCAAGGCCGTATAAGAGAGGTAGAATCATCCCGCGATTTCCAATGGACCGGTCGCTAAGCATTAGCGTGACGTCACTGGTGGAGACCGCGCGGCGCCCGGCTCCAAGCCGTACGTCTGGTACATTTGGCACTTTATCGTTGTTATTACTGAACGTAACGACAACTAATGACTCTTAATAACTTTTTTACCCACCTAAGGCTGATTTCCTTGCCGATGCATTGCCGACCCGAGCCCCAGGGCTGACAATCTTGGGATATGGGTCGGATGGGCGACCTCGCGACGGGAGAAGGAACGATTGCAATTGTTGTGTCCCGCACCGCCAATTGCATTCTCTATCTGCACCCGGGGGGGAGAGGGCACGTGCCCCCATCGGATCAGGGGGCCTCTCGGGCCCGAGGGGCCCTGAGACGCCAATTGGCGGCTGAGGGTCCACGCTGGCATTTTCGACTCAGAAGGGCCCCACAGGGTTCGAAAGAACACCTTATGTGCTCCGAATAGCCACACTTCTCTCCATAAAAGCCACACACCGGCTTTTTATTGTTCCTTGTAGGCATTTGAGGGCCCCTTGCCGGCCTCTCAGGGCCCATTGGCGACCTCTGAGGGCTACTTGCCGGCCTCTGAGGGGCAGGGCCCTTACTGGCCTATCAGGGACCAGCAGTTCTAAGGGTTCCACACACGCCTGTGATGGCCCCTTAACCCAATGGTTGAAGGCCCCCACAACGGCGCCTGCGAGGGCCCTCACCGGCGGCTGTGAAAGCCCCAAACCGGTGCCCAGCTGAGGGCCCCACACTGCCACCTCTCAGTTCAACCGGCACCCCCAAACCAGTGCTTCTTAAGGCCATATATCGGCGGCTCTGAGGGCTCAACGCCGGAGCCTCTGACGGCCTAAGACGGGACCTTCGCATCGGACGGTCACTCACCGGTGACTTTTGAGGGCCCCACACCGACAACTCTGAGGGCCCCCACCGGCGTCTGAGAGTACCTTGCTGGTCTCTGAGGACTCCACAGGGCTCCTGAAGATACCGCAGACCTCTTGAGGGCCCCTGTCGGTTTATAAAGGGTTCGAGCCAGCAGCTTTAAGGGTCCCACACCCGACTGTGATGACCCCACACTCCACTGTCTCTGAGGGCCCACAATGGCAACTGTGAGGACCTTCACCGGCGCCTCTGAGGGCCACACACTAGCACCTCAGAGGGCCCACAGTGGCACCTCTGGGGCCCCCACCAATGCCCCTGAGGGCCTCATACCGGTACCTACCTGTGAGGGCCCACACCAGTGCCTCCAAAGGCTTCATAACCGGCGGCCCTGAGGGCACTACACCGGTGATTTTTGGGGGCCAACCGAAGGCACAACACAATCCCTTAGTCTCGCTGAGTTTCTATCCCAATCCCATACCGGCTTCTATCCCAATTCCGGCTCAACTAATTAGCAGCCCCCCCCCCATGGGTCAGCAGCGCCGCGCCGGTGTCGGTGCCGGGGGCCAGCACCATCGGGGCGGCAGTCGGCAACGCGCACTCAATGGTTAGCGCTTAGCACCGGCGGCTAGCGCACGCCCGGCGTGTTATCGGCCGTGAGCCGCTCCGAAACGGCTGCAGTAACTGGTCGATATAGGCAGTAAGCAGATGAGATGCAGGTGGATTGATGACCGGCAAGCTCTTGTGTTTTACGAGGGCGAAGGGTCGAAGTCGGCTGCTAAGCCGTGAGCGGATTTTATCAGATGCCGGTTCATTATGACCTGTATCCGGGTCCTGGTCCGCTGGCGCACTCTTGGAGAGCCGAATCACAGCAAAACTCCATCCGCGACTGTATCTATAGTCTATACGGCTTACGCTTTTCTGAAAACGTCTGCGTTTGGCCTTCTACGGGCCCGGCCGGCCGGACGGCCCCCGATTGGCGATCCACCAGTGACGTCACTGGTAGTGTTAAGCTGATTGGCGAATAATACATGGGGAGAACCGGGACGACATCCCCCTGATCGCTATCGATGATCGTCAATCGAAAACGCTCAACGTAACATTTTTTTCCGCCGATATTTCGTCTTGGACACGCAAGAAATGTATTTCACTTTAAACAGGCTACCAAATCGAGTGGAAGGATAAAATCCTTTGTCCTCGTTCTTCGATGAAAATGATATTTGACGATTATCTGGTTGAATCATGCGGATAAGGGTAATAAAATTATTAATTTAACTTATTTTTTCAATTGGAACGTAATTTCGATTGACATCGTCGAAAAAATTAAGAAAATAAAAATACCATTTTGTACGTGATGAAATTATTCCTATGCCAAGATCTGCCAGCTTTTCATGCCGACAAAAGATGCTAGGTAGTTACAAAATCGACGCACATTTACATTTATATAGAGTATTTTTAAAGGTTATTTTAAGTTATTACAAAATATTTGCGCCAAGGTAGAAGCTTGTCGTTAATTTTCCAAATAATTCTAGCATCTTCTGTGCTGATTGTTTAAGACAATACTCTTGTCATCTATTTTTTTCTCTTGGCATATCGCCAGGTTTTCATTTCGCCCGTCTATAATCGACCTCCGGCTGTGCCCCTGTCGGCTGGAACTGAAAGGTCGGTACTGAAGCTGCATACCGCCTCGATACCGCCTAGCATTACGAACACTTGACACCGATTTGGCCCAGCAACCACCCGTGACGTAGCCAGCCAGTGAGAGGCCGTATCCAGGCGCCGTGATTGGTGTGCCCGTGCTCCGTAAAGCATTACAGATGGCGTTATCAGGTAGCCTGAGGGGATCTGGGCGGGCAGTGTCCGCCTGGAGCTGGAAAACCGGTCAGGCATTCAGCACGTCCAGCATCATGGCTTCCAAGGGAGTGAGAAAGGAGTCTGATACCTTTGGTGAGCTTGAAGTGCCTGCTGAAAAATATTATGGTGCTCAAACAAAGAGATCCATGCTTAACTTTCCCATTGGAGGAACCAATGAAAGAATGCCAGAACCTGTCATCAAGGCATTTGGTGTTCTGAAAAAGGCTGCTGCTGAGGTGAACAAGGAGTTTGGGTTGGACCCCAAAGTTGCTGATGCTATCTCCAAGGCTGCGGATGAAGTTATCAGTGGCAAACTCTACGAGGATCATTTCCCACTCGTCATCTGGCAGACAGGCTCTGGAACCCAGTCCAACATGAACACAAATGAAGTTATTGCCAACAGAGCAATTGAGATGCTTGGTGGTGAGCTTGGTAGCAAAAAGCCTGTCCATCCAAATGACCATGTGAACAAGAGCCAGAGCTCCAATGACACATACCCTACGGCCATGCACATTGCTGTGGCTGTGGAGATTCACAACACCCTGCTGCCCAGCATGCAGAAGCTGCATGATGCACTGGATGCCAAAGCCAAAGAATATGCAGACATTGTGAAGATTGGCAGAACCCACACACAGGACGCTACTCCCCTCACCCTGGGCCAGGAGTTCAGTGGCTATGTCACTCAATTGGCCTTCGGCATTGAGCGCATCAAGGCCACCCTGCCCAGGGTGTACATGCTGGCTGCTGGCGGCACTGCTGTGGGCACCGGCCTCAACACAAGGAAGGGCTTTGCTGAGAAGATTGCTGACAAGGTGTCAAGCCTCACTGGCCTCCCATTTGTCACCGCTCCCAACAAGTTTGAGGCTCTGGCTGCCCATGACGCTCTGGTGGAGGTCTCGGGCGCGCTGAACGTCATCGCCTGCAGCATCATGAAGATCGCCAACGACCTGCGCTTCCTGGCGTCTGGCCCGCGGTGCGGCCTTGGCGAGCTCTCGCTGCCCGAGAACGAGCCGGGCAGCTCCATCATGCCGGGCAAGGTGAACCCGACCCAGTGCGAGGCCATCACCATGGTGGCGGCCCAGGTGATGGGTAACCACGTGGCAGTCAGCGTCGGCGGCAGCAACGGCCACTTCGAGCTGAACGTCTTCAAGCCGATGATGGTGGCCAACGTGCTGCGCTCGATCCGGCTGCTCGGAGACTCGTGCCAGGCGTTCACCGACAAGTGCGTGGTCGGCATCGAGGTGAACCGGTCGCGCGTCGACCAGCTCCTGCACGAGAGCCTGATGCTGGTGACGGCGCTCAACCCGCACATCGGCTACGACAAGGCGGCGCACATCGCCAAGACGGCGCACAAGGAGGGCTCCACGCTGCGCGCCACCGCCATCAAGCTCGGCTACCTGACCGAGGCGCAGTTCGACGAGTGGGTGCGGCCCGAGGACATGCTCGGACCCAAGTAGGCGGCGTACGCGAGTCCGGCGATCGCACGCCGCCCCGGTGCGGCTCACCCCGTCCCTAAGCTGCGGGCAGAAAGGTCACCTCGGTGGCGGTCATGATTACTGGGAGAAAGTTCGAGCGGAGAGTTATGGATTGGTACAAGTGTGAGCGAATGTGAGACAACTGGTTGCAAATCGGTGTCTTTGAATGTTTATCACTGAAATGACAAGGATTCTCACGTAAATAAAGTTTATTGGTGCAAAAATGGTTTGTCGCGACTCACGTGCTGACTGATCACAGTTAAATTATACATCTAGCGGACGAACGCAATCACATATATCACCCTAACAGAAGCAATTCATCCAAAGCGGTAAAGCGATGACGAGCTACTATAGTTGCGGCAATGGCATCAGCCTCGGACGAGGCGTCAACGTTGACTCGCGATCTAATGATACAGGATACCTAGCGTCGGCTAACCAAAGATGTACGAATCAATTGTACCACTACTGTCAATACCTGCAATCCTACAACTAACAACGGGTACGTTTCTCCTCATTGAAGGCGACAACATGAACTACCTACCTGGGCTAAACATGTAACAGTCATATATGCGGTCTCTTGGGCAAAGATTATAGAAGTTACTAAAAGCAAACTACTTCGTTATTTTACACGTCAGCTATTGAAACTTGAAACTTAATTATAGCGCGGAAGCCTCGTTAGGCTCACTAGCATCGTGCATGATTCAGTAATGTCTTAAGTACGTGCGAGGGACGACGCCATAAGACACGCAAGTAACACGCAGTAACACTGATTCAATCATATGACACGTGACAAGTGTTGAAATTTGATAGACGTAAACATCGACTTTGGCTCACATAAAGAGGAATAAATTTCGTTACCTACAACCCGGCCTATTATTTCTAAATTGGTGAGTGTAGGCTGTGTTTTCCGACATATAGGTAATTACGTGGTTCGGATTAACATAGCATGTCTTCTAAAGGCCGCTCGTCTGATAAATATAACATCTAGGGGAAACATATCTGACAAGGTCTCAAAAACTGGCACATTTATCGCAAGAATATATAGCGCACATGAATACAGGATTAGCTACATTATCAGTGAAATGATCGTAGATGGCAGCGACAAAGTAAATATAAATCATCACAAGTACTTAGATGTAGTAAGAGGGACATTCAGTTCAACGTCGATACACTAACAGCACACCAAGGCACGCCAAGAACTGCACCAGCATCACAATAATCACACACCCAGCGCACACATGTGCAGGACGTGAAGACTGAACTTGACAACTGCTTTACCTAACTGTGAGGGAACCTGGAGGGCCAGAACAAATAGCCGATGTGTTGCGCAGTGAATATGACAATATGGAGCGATAATTTTGCCCCGGAGGGATTTGACTATACAATAGAACTTTCCTGGCGTTTTACTTTTCGCAGCTGGGGGGTATTAGCCATACAGTGAACTCCAAATCATAACCAATGAAGTACTACTTTGGTTATTACCCATTTCAATCTGTTTTTTTTTGGGGGGGGGGCTGAGTTCAACCGATATAAACTGGACTCGTTTAATTGCTTTCTGGAAAAAGCTGATAAAATAGGAAAATTCAATAAATAACATCCAGGTAAACTCAGCAGTAAGCCTCTTCGCAACCCAGAGTCTCGCTTAGCACGAATCACAAGCAGTTCTAGCAGTGTGCGTGAACGCTTCAGCCTTCAATCAACATCAGAACATTCAGGAACAGGACAACACTGCTAGCACTCGTATGTAGCTCGGCTGAACCGTGTAACCTATCCTAACATTGATCACAAACGCTCTCATCGTCAGGGACTTGGGTATTACGAGGTGGCGTGGTACTGTGGCGTTCCGATAGTACAGCCATATCGCAATAGAGGGCGACATCGATTCAGGGGGCATGTTCAGGCAAAATTCGCCTTGCGGCCCGCCCGAGGCTAGGGTTTTCCGTGCGATGGCACTGACAGCAATACTGGCAACTGCCGAGTTCTTAGAGGTGACGTGATATCCCACGTACCAATAGTATGAAATAAGTGGCTCGTGTATACATGCGCAATTCTTGGTTTCAGTTAGGTTTTGATAACGTCGTAGTAACGTGAAAGGGACCGACGACAAATAAGAACCAGAATTGGTGGTGCATGCGCTGTAAAGTTCTTTCAAATCATTTCAAATCATGACAACCGCTGAAGCATTACCTATTCTTTTTTAAGCGCCTCGGATCAAGCACATCAGACCAGACGTGCCGTTACTTAAAATAACCATTGTGTGAACTCCCTTGGATTACAGACCCACATTTCCCCCGGAAATGCTACGTATCGGTCATCCTTTCCTAAGCCGCTATCAGGACCGGGGAGCCCAGCCAGGACCGGTGAGCCCCGCCCACCTGTGACGTCACTGGCCCCTGCCGCTGTCGTCACGGCCCACCTGCAGCGGGTACAGCCGGCCGGGGGCGGGCCCTTAGTGACCGGACCAGTCGGTGCGGTTGGTGATGGTATCCGTTCCCCGCTTGCCGTACTTGACGTGGATGATCAGGAACGCCACGCCAAGCACCAGGCAGATGCAGCCGACCACGATGTACGCCACTCCCAGGAACGGGTTCTTGCCGCCCAGCAGCGACGTGGTGGACAGGATGATGCGCTTGGTGCCGCCGAACGACGTCACCGGGTAGGCGTAGCTGACGACGATGCGGTACTCGCCGGCCGGCAGGCTGTGCTTGAACGTCTCGGCCGACTCGTTGACGCGCGCCCACAGTTTGCGGAAGGTGGGTAGCGCGGCAGTGCGCATCCACACGATCAGGTCCTCGTTCTCGTAACCGTTGTTCTCCGGGTGCGCCGGGTCCAGCTCGTACACGGCGCGCTTCCAGTTGACCGGCTTCGCGGTGTTCTTGAAGGCGCCGTCGGCGGTCAGCGGGCCCGGAGGGTTCTGCCGGCGGCCGGGCACGGTCAGCGATGGGTCCAGAGGGGGAGGAGAGGGGGTTGTGGCACGTGATACAGCACATTCAGGCAGCGTTGGGGAGATGCACAATAAACGGTCAAATGTATTATCTAATATCTAATCTAATATTTAGAAATCGTACATTATCTGAGGGACTGAAGCCGTTCATGTTAGCTACCCCATTTCACATGAATAAAAAAAAGCATAAACACGTTGAACATCCTAACATTAATACAGGTAAATGGCAGGCAATAACCCTTATTCGAAGTTCAAGTTACGATATTTGTGACACATTAACGGGCTCGAATATAAACTAATACATTTATCATCAATTTAGAACCGACAACTGACGAAAAATCATCATGACCTTCAGCCCGTTCGCCGTGCTATTAGTCCCTGCTTTAGCGCCGTATGAAGACTGTGCCTCCAGTGATCGATCTGTTGACATCGTCGCGTAGACACAGCCATCAAGGTAGCTCGACCCAATATAGTCCCCCATTCATAGTGTTAGGGGGCATCACGGTTCAGCAACCCACAAAGGATGAAAAACAACTACTGAGTATTTTTTCTTCCCAAAAGCGTGAAAATCCGAGCCATTCCTAGCACGACTTACGAATCAGAAACCAAGGAACAAAATCCCGAATCTTTGAGTATAGCTCAAATCTACTAATGCCTAGCATGCAAAAGGATCAGCCCAGCAGACTACATCGGGTCATTTACGGGCAGCACGTCAGCGATCGGCCCATATTGCCGTCACGGCCGGTCGCGCCCAGCACGACGATCGATAACGGCTGGCTCTCCGCTCGGCGGCGCCCGCTCGGGATCCGTGTGGGGTCACAGGCGGCGCCCGTTCGGGACCCGTGGACACAGGCGGCGATAGCTATCGCGTTCGGCAGAGGGGGGAGGGGAGGGGGCGGGGCAGCATTTCGTCTTATGCCGTGTTCCTTTCATAAAACTTCGCACTGCATATGGTACGCTGTTTTGCGTAGCCCAACGGTACGAAAACTGCGTACCATTTATCTGTACAGCATAGCACATATAAACGTTTTCTCGTCACAAATCCTCATAAAACCGGGTGTGAAAGCGTGGATACGCGTGACGCTCGTTCGCACATGGATATATGTGCGACACCGACTGGCATATCACGTCTGTCCATTAGCGCTAACAGGGAACAGCCATTTAGCACCTGCCGGGAAGCCGAGAAGAGCGTACTGTTTATATTACGTTACGACACTCCACAAAACGCTGCGTATTTACAGGCGCAAATTGAGTTAGGACGGAACGCGGTACAAACCGCCTTTCTCCGCTGGTGTGAAGGATAGAAGCACTGAATTTCAATGAGCCTCACACCAAGACCTGTCACGTGTCTCACGGCAGCGTCCGGCATAGCCCTCCTCGCGTCCACGGAACAGTCTCCGGTTCGGTTCGAAACTACTTATTACACTGCATGACCCCTTGATACCGCCTTAATTCATATGCAATATTCACAAATTTGACCGATCGTGAGACAATCTTCATTCGACGGCTAGCGGAAAATTATTCGTTCAGTGATTGGTAAAGCAGGCCGCAGAGTCGGAGTCGGTTGTAGCCGACAGTTCTACCCGTAGTCTGCGCCTGAGTTTGAGTCGCCAAAATCTGACCGACTCTGACTACGGAGTCGGAGTCAAAATTGCACGGCTTAATGCCATGCACGAGATCAGTTGCTGAAAAATAGGTATTACGTTCGTTGGCCCTAACAAGACAAATTTTTTCGAAGCTATGGCCACGCTCCTGATTCTGATGAGGGTTTTAAGGGTAGCAGACGACGGTGGCTGCGCCTGAACCTCTCAGTTGTCCGTTTTTTTTTAATAAAGCATCTATACTTGCAAGGTAAGAACTAACCATGCGTAATAGTTCACAGGACCAGTCCCAGCCCTCCAGTCACGAGTCCCAAATGAGCTAAGACTTACCCCAAGCCCGTACAAGGGTACGACTACGGGCTAAGGTAAAACCTAAATAGCGGTCACCGATACCGGCCGAAGCACTACCAGCCCATTTCCTTTCGCATACTCTGGATGATCACGGCAGCTAGCATTTCAGTCGACTGTGGTACCAAGCTCATTAAGTCCGAACCAAGATTCTTACAGATATCCGAACCACGCATCAACGGCATTTCCGACACAAGTTTGGATATTAGCCGATAAGGAGCATTTTTGCCCGGAAGGCTGAGAGCCAAGATATTGACTAACCGTAAAACACAAAATCATTTCTAACAATTTCGTAAGGAATTAAGTTCACCCTTCTAGAAACCAGAAGTTAGTAAAGCGGGAAGCACAACTCACAAACCCATAAGCACTAAACAGAATGCATGGATACCTAACTGATCTATGGTATCAGCATAATTGCACCTAAGCAACTTTAGAGCAAGAGGTCGTCAAACAGCGTGGGAGACGGCAAATGCACACGTCTGATAACGACATTATCAAGGTGACTACACGTATAGTATTTGAGAGGAGCATGCGCTGCTGGGACTGATAGCCTAGCATGTAAGCCCATTTCATGTTGAACACCATGCATAATATATCTTCAAATGATCGTTAGAGCACACGGAAAACAATTATATTCCGGGAAAATAGATGAGAAATAAATTGCCAAAAATATGAAGAGTAAGGTAAAACGCCTACGTCAAAAACCAAAATCAGCACCCTTCCAAATCGACATTGTCTCCCATCCAGCATTCTGGCCCCAGGAAGCTCACCTCAAACTTGTACTTTTTATCCGACGGCCAGGCGATTCCCGTGCGCACCAGAGGCACGGCGAGCTCCGCGCCCGCAGAAGACAGCATCTTCAGCTCGAAGGTGTCATTGAAGAGGCTGTTGGCGATGGCACCGCACGGTGCGATCGGCTTCTTATCGGCGGTCGCGAACGGACTGCAGTCGGAGAGCGCCGAGTCCGTCTGGCCCATGAGCTGGTTGACATCGCGAGACTTGACGTAACGCCGGTGATTCTGATAAAAGTTGGTCAGACCATAGTACATGTACACACGGCCATTGAGACTCTCTGTGACATTGAAATTGATGTGGCACGTGCAGGGTGTAGCGGCTGTGTGATTTGGGCTGCTCAGCACCTCGTCGCAGGTGGCATTGTTATGTGCGGGATCAATGCTGTTGCACTGGGTGTACTCCTTCACCACCTCCTGAACATTGCCAGAGAAGGTCAGCAGTGCAATGCCCACCGGGATAAAGGCAACGCCAATGACAAAGAATGTGGGCAGAACCGTGCCTGCAGTGAGGATCGGTTGCCAGGCCGGCAGTTGCTGCTGGCGAAACTTGCTGCTTGATGGCCTCTTGGTCTTGGTCTGTTCAGAGCTGACTGGACTCGACATTATGGCAGAGGTTGAGTGTTCAAACCTCTGGACTACTCTGGTGGTAAAAAAAAACAGACATGATGATCAGACATAGAAACCAGCACACTGTATAGTGTATGGTGTCTGTTTTTATCACCATGCTGCCAGTGTTACACTTCACTTCCACTTTTTTACTTCATCTATTGTAGTTCATTGCTGGCATTCCTTGGCCTGTTATCGGAGAACTGTAGCCCATTTAAATAAGTTCGAGAAGCCAAAAAATGCCAGCCAGCTGGCAGCATGCTGGTCTAATATATACTAATACCAAAATATTGACAAAACATTGCCATAATAATGATAGGCAGTTCAACCAGGGGACACAACAAAAAGGCAGTGCACTGGCACTGCATGAAGGTTCACACTCACAATTACACACAATCAGTAACACCGTCACTCACAAACTCGACTGGAGTGGACACTAGGGGATCAGGATAGGCCACTAGCCTCTCAAAATTTACATTGAATCTTAAGTAAGTAAGCATACTTAGCAAGTAAATTACACTGCATCAGATCATTGATCAAGAAGGCAGAAAAGCTGTCAAGCTAAGCTACACCCCAACCAGGCCCAGGTCAGTACCTAACCAGTTAATGCAAATCCAGACCAAAAGCAAGAAGGAAACCCACAACTATTCTGATTCACAATCGACTGTCGCAAATCAAAATAACAAAACGCAGTGTACCCATACAAGGCCACCACTTGCCATAGGGTCCCTGGTAGAGAGTTCCTTGCAATTGAAACTCCTCCGTTGTGGCCTTGTCCGTTGTTACCAGTTGTTACCGTTGTTACCAATTGTTACTCATCCAAGATCAAGATTGCTACAAATACAAGATGAAATCAAATTCGGTGTTTCCTTTGATCGTTTTGATTGACGTCATAAGAGTCTGCGTGTTGTTTTTGACCAACGTTATGTATCTCTGCTTAATTTAAAACTTGGTGGTCCGTGTGAAAAGAAAGCGTAATTTATGTAGATAGAGTGCTAGGAATCCTGAAAAAGTAATAAAAATTGAATTATTTAATCAAGCTTCCGTCTCATCTATGTGAGCTGATGACGTAATTTCTTTCTTCAATCAAATATTTCTTTATTAATATAACCCTTTGAATTTGATGACGTTTGAAAACGTATTCGTTTTGTTTATTTTCCATTGTGTTGCTTATATTTTGCCCTATAAGCAGTTACAGCATCTTCAAATGACAATAAATATTATATTCATAACCTTAAAACACTTATTTCTCGAAAAAGTCAAACTTATTAATATATGCGTCATTTTTTCAACATTGCACAAGCAAGAAAACGCGCATCGATAGGCAACAATGCGCAATTTGTGCGCAATGGCGCACAACGGCGGCCATCTTGGATCGAAGTTGAGCTGTTTCAATGCCTTTTTTTGTTGGTTGACAGCTTGGTAAATAAATTATAATAGTTGAAGATTTACGCACTTGATTACCAGCTCCTCACACTGTTGGCTGAAAACGCGTTTCATGTAAAAGCTGCTTTGGCTTCCATTTCAATCTTTGTCGCTGTCTGACCAACATCGACATTTATCGGATTGGGCCAGAGCTCGGGGTAAGTCAAAGAAAAGAATGAAATTTGAAGTCTTCAACACTTTCCTGTTAAGAACTAGTGGCTTAATTTTGCCGTCTTTCTTCATCTGCAACCATGGAATCCACCTGTTTAGCTTAGCCATTAAATTGTTCCATTTGAGTTTTATTCTGCATGGATTATTACCTTACCTATCACTATTATTGTTTGTTATTGGCATAACCTTTGTGATGCAGAGATGGTTGAACTGCTGTGCTGACTGGACAGTGCCCACTTTTGAGCCAGACTGGAAAAATACACGTTATGCCGAATATGTAGGACGTGGTGGGATTGTGCTGCAAATTTCCATGCATGTCTGGCGTAACTTTGTTTGCATTGAAATCTGAATTCAGCGCATGGCGGCGGCTGAATTTTTCAGTGCAGGGCGGCTGCACCAGACTGGAAAAAATACACGTTATGCCAAATATGTCCGGCGTAGTGGCGGGATTGCGGCAAAAATTTCAGCGCACACGCACGTCCTGCTTAACTTCGCATGCGCCTAATTCAGCCCATGCAGGTGGACGAATTTTTCGGCGCAGGGCGGTCGCATAATTTTTTTGCGAAAGACGGTCACCGAATTTATGCGGTTCGCTGGTCAACCTAGCAGCAGATTCGCCCCGCGGGCGGCTCTGGAGAGGTTGCGGGACGAGACGTCCCCACCCCGGTCGTCGCGTGCTCGAACTGGCGAGCCGCCCTGCGTCTACTCAGCGGAGGAACGGCCGCCCAGGTGAGGCCTCAACCTTCGGCGTAGAGATAGGTATGGAAAACCCTGTTGAACGTCGCCAAGCGTCGTTAAGCTATAGCAGTGGGTTCCTGCCCACTGCAGTATCGAGGGGAATGAGAGCGCGGACGCTGGCAAAACAGGCGGCCGCCCTGCCCTCAAACGCCCGATCGCTGACCAGGGCGGTTCATTGTGCGGCCTCGCATCAGTGGCGCGACAACTGCTCAGAATCACTATTCAAGCCACTCCTTGCCCCTCGGGGCACAACGCCGCTCCCTATCCCCGGAGAGGACCGAGAGGATGCCATTTCGATGCACCAGATGAGGGCGGGCCACCGGGCCACTCGCTCCAGTACGGTAGCGAATCGGCTGTCTCCACTCCGCCGCGTGCCAGCAGTGCCCAGACAAGCGGTGCCCAGCGGCGCTCTGCACCGTGAGCCGAGAAGAGGCTGATGTGCCGGAGCACGTGCTGCTCCGCTGCCCGGCCCTCGCTGGCTCCCGCCGAGGTTTTGGGATTACGTGGAAATAAAAAACTCATTCGGACGCTCAAACATGGGAGAGCGTACAAGGCCCCGAAACACTCTGTCTGGTTTATAGCCTTGATCAGTAGATGTGCACATGTGCTTGATATGAAAAGGGCTTAATTTTCGCACAAATAGGCACCTAATTTTTGGCGCAAATCACGCAGAAATTTCGGCGCAAAATCGCTTGCGCCGAATTTCGGCGCAAGAGGGTCTCACGGGCGTCCGGCGTAGTGTATTGATGTTTTCCAGTCTGGCGGCCGCACAATTGTTTGGCTTAAGACGATTACCGTAAAACTGGGTGTTAAGGGACAGTGGGGTGCTAAGGGACAGTTGCGTGGGAAGAACTTTGAGTCATATTAAGTTCCTAATTTGAGAAGGTTGAATATAAACTTGAGTGTGGTAGTTGACACTGTTTTGTTCTTGACTATAAGACAAAATGGCGTGGTTTTTCATGCAAGTGATTTGGTTCAAAAATGTTTTTTTGAAAATAATGCTACATTTTCACAAAATTGAAACATCTCCAAAACTCTGTGTGTACCACATAAACTAGTAGGTAGGTGTACAGGGAAAATGAATGCATAGGTGTATTGTCACATATACCTATTGCACATGTTTCCTGAAAAACTTAACAAATCCACCCATTCATTCATCATCCTCTTCCTCTTTTTCGGACACATGCATATTTTTAGGTGGATGTGGGGTGCTAAGGGACAGGGAAGAGAAAATAAAAAATGACATCTTAATATAATTTCATAAAGTTTTCTTTCAGTAGGCATGGAAAACACCAAATTTCACATAAAATGCTGGCAAGTTCATGCTTTTATCTCTAACACATCTTAAGTTATTTAACAAAACACCTCAAAACTCCCTTAACACACTCTTTTACAATGATAATACTCGGTTCGGTTATCTTGGAAACTAAGAAAGCTAGAAGGATGTAGTTAAAAGCAATAGTTGGGCTTGCTATAAGATCTGTCAAATATTGAGGTCATTTTCTCTATGGACCAGGTTGTTGCTAAGGTTACTGGAGGTCAGTGTCCTGATTTTCGTGAATTTGGGTGGAAACCCACACCCGAACAGATTCTCTTTGCGACGTCCCGGAAAGCTAAACGACGTCCCTGACAGATAAAAGTCAACAGGTATATTGAACACCAAAAACAAATAACAAAAAGAAATATCACCTCTGTGGCCTAAAAACACGGCTACGCAAAATCACAATAAATATATCCCACCACAAATAAATATATAAATATTGTTTTATATTATGACTTCATCCGTCATTGGGTGTGTGCCTGTGGAGTGTGGATGATTGATTGAATAAACTAAACTAAACTAAACTAAGTCCCAAGGCCTCACAAACCCACTCTTATGTACTCAACTCCCCTTTCCTACACCGCTGGCCAACTGCCGTAACAGTAAACAGCGCGGTTTTATTTTCGTTTTCTGTGCGTCAGATATGGATATGTTTTTTTTTCCTTTACCATGTGAATGTAATAGCTGCCATATAAAGGAGAAAAGATGTCGGAATAGAGGGATCTGAGGACGTCGTTTTCCACTTCTCAGTTTAAATAACTGTGCAGTGTAAAGATAAAAATTTATCATGCGAATATTTTACTTCGACATTTATCTATAAGCACACAACATACCTTTTGTATCGATTCACTGTAACATATTTAATTATTTTTTTTCCCTCAGAAGGTCACAGTAACGGGTAGCACTGCCCCTCGAGCATGCACTTCAAAGGTAGTTAATTTTGCACATGTTGATACTGGTTGTTGAAAAAGTTTGTGTTTATTTGTTTGAATTAAAATAAAGTTACCGAATTTCAACAATTTTAATTTAAGTATGCCGTCCTTGGCTTAAAAATACACTCAATGTTGGGCACGTCGATTGACCTTGTCATTCCCGGTTAAAGGAAATAGTTCACTTTCACGAAATTATTTTTTTTGCAATGGATTTATGATTTTTTATGTTCAAAATGATCAGCAAAGAAAATAAAACCTTTTTATAACAAAAGATAGTTTTCTATATTTTGATATAGGAAGAACTTTTCAGTTTCTGTAAGGCACACGCGATCCAGTATGAAAAGAGCATGGGTCCCGAAAATTCTTCAGAAACTAGAGAAATTATCGCGGCCACCGGCATTTGGGCGATCTGCTCGTGCTTTTGTTACTGGAGCGCCTCTTTCCCCGAGATTGCGCCGGCCGCCTGCCATGGACGAAAAATACACGACTTTGAAATCCGGCTGATCGTGGGAAAATACCGCCGGAGGTCTCGGCTATATGCAGGAATTCACCGGGATGTATAAGTATATACCACTGCCTCGATGTATAGGCTATAGCCTGCAAGCTGGCTTTGGTGCAAACTGCAAACATGTCAAACATGGTATAGGGCGGATTGTCGATTGATGTAAGCGAATCAGACGTTCAATTGACAATTTCCGATTCTTATTCGATAATTACGGCCAATTATATTTTATTTTAGGAAGTGTTATTAGGAGCAGAGCAATAAAATCTCATTTCTCCCCTGTCTCTTTACCTATCTCTCAAATCCCTTGCTCACTCATCTTTCCTCTCCATAGGCGGCGGAACGGGGAGGGCACCGGGGCACCGTCCCCCCCTTTGATTTTGGCATTTTAACATTAGCCCTATGGGCGTTGCATGGAAAGAATGGGACCAAAAGTTGGCAGTGCCCCCCCCCCCCTTAATTGAAGGTGTTCCGCCGCTACTGTTCCTCTCTCTAGGTATCAGTCTCCTTGCCGTCCTCCCTGAAGTCTCTGTTAGTCTTTTCCTTTTCCTTCATTAGTCTTATCCTCCTTTCTCTCACCACCCCCCTCTCTCTCTCTCTCTCTCTCCCTCTCTCTCTCTCTCTCTCTTTCTCTCTCTCTCTCTCTCTCTCTCTCTCTCTCTCTCTCTCTCTCTCTCTCTCTCTCTCTCTCTCTCTCTCTCTCTCTCTCTACCCGTCCGTCTGTCCATCTCTTTGTCCGTCTCTCCGTCCGTCCGTCCGCCCTTCCGTCTCTCAGTCCGTCCATCCATCCGTCCGTTTCTCCATTCTCCGTCCGTCGGTCCATCCGTCTCTCCGTATGTTCGTCCGTCCGTCTATCTGTCTCCCCAGACCCCATCCGCCCGCCCGCCCGCCCAAGGCCCTAAAACGAGTCCTCAAATTAATAGGTTAGGGGCATATGCCCCCCGGACAGGAGCCTGAGGGGCATTCAGTACAAGTATGCCCCCCCCCCCCCCCATTCAGACTTACACTTCTTACGCCCGCTATAACGAGGAACTAAATAAAAACTGATTAGAAAGCCTTCCTAGTAACTAGGTACTTTTGTGCTCAGAGTCGTTTTAGTAACCTCAATTTAGTTGTCATTGCCTTTATTTTGTCTAAAAATATGTTGCTTCTTACCACAAGGCCAAGGGAGCAATGCCGCTTCAACCCTATTGACCGTATTGCGTAACGACGGCAGTCATACTGCGCAAGCCAGGAATCGGCCGCCGCCTATGCTTGGGAATAGGGACGGTTAGAATACGATTTACCTGTATGGCCGCAGCCAGCGCAGCGTAAGCGGGGGGGGGGGGGGGGCACAAGGGGCGCGTGCCGCCTCATTAGATGCATGGTGCCCTATGGGCCCGAGAGGCCCTGCAGTGCCAATTAGTGGCCACTCAGGGTCCAAGCGTGCCTCATTTCGACTGATATAAGACCCGCAGGACTCGTGAGAGCACCTCACGGAGACACGGGCTCCTGAGTCGCCACACATCACACATCTCCATAACGGCCCCACTCCGACTTCTGATAGCCCTGTGCTGGCCTCTGAGTGCTCTTGCTGACCCATTAAGCGTCAGCTCAGCTCTAATTAGGGTCCTGACCCATACCCGCATGGAACGGCTTCACACCACTGTCTCTGAGGGCCCATAACGGCGCCTGTGAGGGCCTCACACCGGCGCCTCTGAGAGCCCAATACCACCAATCTGAGGGACTAACACCAATGTTTCTTAAGGCCCTACATCGGCGGCGGCTCTGAGGGCCCCACACTGGCGCCTCTGAAGGTCTTACACAAGCGCATCTGACGGCTACCTACCTGCAACTCTGTGGGCCCCACACTGGTGACTCTGAGGGCTCCCAGGGAGTCCTCCCATGAGAGCCCTCAGGCGTCGCTGCAGCGACGCCTGAGAGTCCCATGCCGATCTATAAGGACTCCACAGGGCTCCTGAAGATAGGCCGGCAAGTGAGGGCCGGCTAGTGAGGGCCGGCAAGATAGGCCGGCAAGTGTGACGTCATCTTTGACCTGACCTGAAAATGACCTCAGTAAAAATTATAGACCTTATCCATTTGTACCCTGCACCGTTTACCGCTTGTCGCTATCTTGCTTTATTCTCGAGATCTCGCTGTCGCTCCCGCTCGTAATAATGGACAGGTCATAAAAATTACCTGACCTGAGGTCAACGCAGGGCGATATCCACTTTTTTATTTTCGCATATGAATGACAATTGATAAGGCTTTAATCGTCATCAGACAAAATTACAACTTTCAGTGGGGAAAATATCACGGTCACTCTTCGAAAAATAGGTCAAAAGGTCACGTGATCAAAATTTTCAAAAATTGAAAATGCGAGATAGCCAAAATGTTTGTTGGCTGATTGTGAGTTGAACCATATAAAGTTTTTATCGCAGAAAACCAATAGTTTCTGAGTTATAGGCCGCCAAACATAGGGCTGCAGCGCGACCTGCTGGAATTGCCCGAGGCTATATCTCGGAAACCGTTGTTCGAAGAAAAAAATCCTTGTCACAGCTGGCTTCCCCGCCCATCACAACCCCTTACACCAGTTTTCAACGAAAAATAAAATATGAGGGTGCAAATTTAATTTTTTATTTGTCGATTTGTCGTGGAACGCCCCACGTGTAATAGCAGCGTGTTGCTATCACCGGTGAAACAGGGCCCAGGTGGCCTACCATTTGTTTTTTTTTTTTTTTAGAAAAAAACTCGTATCAGGGCTATGACGAAAAATAAGTGGCCTAAATCCGATGAGAAGACAGGATTTGGGGGTACCCTAGGAGAAGGTTTGGCTCCGTGACCTGGTATGCCCCCCCGCGCTGAAACCCTGGATCCGCCAGGGCGTGAAATAATGCATTAAAAATTAAAGAACCATGCAAAGTTAGCCCTTTTACTAGTTTTACTGGCAAGGGCGATAATGTTCCCCTGAATGTCCTTATTGATCAGTACGAGAATTTCTCTAGAGTTCTCCTAGATAATTTCTCTAGTTTCTGAAGAATTTTCGGGACCCATGCTCGTTTCATACTGGATGCAAATATATGCAAGGCACACATCCTCAACGCAAAACACCTTTTTCGGGACGAGAAATAGAATATCTTTGCCTAGGGTGATCGTTGGGCTGTAAAAGCTCCTGATTTATGCTCGTCTCAGCCCAAGCTACGGAACTGCTATTCCAGTTCAAAACCCATGTTAAAATGTGAACTATTTCCTTTAATCGACGTCGGTACAAAACTGAAAAGTGCACAATGATTTCACATTTTTTCCAGCCAAGAAAAATTCAGCGTATACCTTGGAGTTTTCTTAATTGAATTCCATAACAGGAAGCTATGGAAATTAATTTTCCTAACTGTTTTCCATCTCTTTGTTTGGACGTCTGTTTTTTACGTCACTCGTCTTGCTCGATATAATATCTCTCCTATGACGTCAATATTTAGAGATAGCCGTTGACTCTTGGGCTGATTTTTGTTGAAGCATATTTGTTGTTGACTGTTGTGTACGATCATGGACAAGAACTAAACATCTTCAAAGTGTTGTTTTTGTGTTTGTGGTGAATAATTGAATTTTGTATTGTACTAGGGGTAAACTGGCATTACTTTGTGTCTATATGATCATTTGAGGTGCCTTGAGGTACTATTATTAAAAATTGCCAGTGAAAATCGCTAATTTCAAGAGATTTAAGGGATCTTCAGTGGCTTAGGATCCGCACCGATATCGACGTCCTTTTGAAATAGTGACGTCCTTGCGGCTTCAATCACACTCTCCGAAAAACCAATTTCAGGACACTGCTGGAGGTCACCAAAAGAAGGTTAAATTATCGTGAAAAAATCCCAGATTTTGACGTCTTTTACAAAACGGCGGATAACGCGCAAAGAAAGAGTTATAGTGCCTCGAAAAAAGCGCTTTCGATAGCTCTTTTAAAGCTTTTTCTGAGTATTTAGGTCAGATTTGACCAAGGGTCAACGGCTTAGCCTCCAGAGAGCGAGAACCTAAAATTTGACGTTCTTTTCGGAAAACATTTTTTTTTTCAATAAGTTTTCATACCAAGCTTAGATCCCAAGCGTCCCCACGGCTGGCCGGTCGCTAATACTCAGAAATTTCTGTCATTCTACGTAAGACTTTGCTCGCTAGTAACCGCAATGGCCGAATAACATCCAAATATGGTCCTAAACTGATCTGTCTGGGCTGCTGAACAGTAGCTGGATCGCGTTGGCAACCTTAATCGTCACCGACCAATGAACCTTTATGTATGTTTGTGTTCCAGGGGCCGCCAGCTGTAGGATGGATGCCTTGGCAGGCTATGTCAGTGACGGTGATTCAAAGGTATGTTGAACTGTTCACGTAATAAAGTGCACTGTGATTGTCTTGATGGTAAATAGTGCATTCATTTCAGTAAGAGCCATGTTAAGAAAAGTAACTGGGTGAGCCATATTATAGATTTACCCATCGAAAATTTCACTTTGATTCGAGGCGAGCTGACACAGATATGTCATCTTCTACATACATATAACAACGTCATCTCCCAACAAAACAATGAGGTCCGTTTTCTGTATGCTCGCCTTCTCCTTATGTTACGCACCCGAGACGCGAGGGCACACACGCGCCCGCCGCACCGTCTTTTCTCTTATTCTCCTCGATTACCCATGCTAGAACGATGCTGCGCCGTATGCCATTTGCTGTGTTTCAGGGACTAGGTAGACTGGGTTTTGCAGGACATATCAGTTGACTATATGTCCTGACCCATGGGGCTGAAATCTGGGATAAATTGCGCCCAACATTCTTGAGGCCAAAGAGTGTTCAGCAACCAACACCCAGTGGTGATTCCTGAATTTCAGGAGCGGCGGATAAGCATTTAGACGACCTCGTATTTGAGGATCGTAGCAAAGACAGTGGACCAGCATATACAAAATGAGCTACACTGCCAGGATTGGAGACAAATTTGCGATACGCATGCATAAGATGGCCTACCTATGCCAGCCCATTTGGAAATAAAGTGAATTTATCGATGGGTAATTCTTTAATATGGCGCACCCTGCATATTGGAAAATACTGTGCAGCATATTGGAAAATACTGTGATCTTAATTTCTCAACAAGAGAGGTGTTTCTGATCCGTGGTGTAAAAACGTACATAGGTACTTGATATAATTCGAATTATCACTTCACTTTCGCTCTAAGTAAAAGCAACGCAAAACTATCTGACGATTGTTTCATGTTCTGCTTCAGATGTCGGGGGACAACACTGCAAATTACGAGGCGGTGGAAATGGACATAAGTGAGGTGAGAATTGGGGTATTCTATTGAGATGATGACGTTTGTTACACACTGTAATGCCATATAATTCGTCACACAATATGTGCACTTGATCAAGTCCACTCCTGTAATTGTCATGCCATGGAGTCGTTCGAATGATATCCCAACATATTTATCATGACTGCTTACAAGGGGATGTAAAAAGTTCGGCCCATGTTTGTTTTAACATTTTGTGCCAGTGTTACTTCTCACGGGCTGTGATTTTCAATTCATCAAAATATACATTGATATCCTGTTTTGGGGAGGCTGAACACTGTGTGCTTTCATGGAACTATGTTCGTGATATTAACATATTCTGTTAAATTACTATATGTAAAGTCGTCTATGGAAAGCCCGGGCTAAGATGAGCGTAGTCGTCAGGTGGCAACCAGTCTCCGAATGGGTGAGTAGTGCTCCGGGACGTACGTATAAACACACACGCTCGTGTATTGTACACATGAACTTCGCCGTGTGTCGGTATGAGTGCAAACCAATTCATATCCCCCACATGTCAGTCACATTATGAACTAGTGGTCCTAGTAAATCCGTGGATATCAGGGCTCTATCCCGAGTCGCCATCAGTCTGTGATAATTCAACAATGCAAATCGATGTGGCAGTGTATTCAGTCAAGCCTTGTTCGTTTACGTCCGTGTCCATTTGTGTTGTAATCCGCTAGTCACTCCCCTATACTGGTAGGATTTTGTTTGTTACACTCGTCAGTTTAAGGATCGTCAATTAGTCTTCATCTGTTAACCTAGAAACGATGACATTGCTGCTTGGAGGCCTTACAATCTATCAGCATCGTCATCTTCCGAAGATTTTAAGTTTTACTTGTGCGAGCTAACGCTCTTATCTTATTACAGGATGACTTCTTAGGGGTAAATATGCGTAACATTCCGCAACGTTCCGTTGTTACTGGTCTGAATAGCCAGCCCTACGAGTTTTGTATTTTTATTTGTGCTGATTTAGTTTTCTTGTCACATTTGAGTTGCTTCATTTTGGCGTCTTTTCTTCGCATCACACCGCTGCTAGAATCTGATGATTATATTTCTGCAATACTTCAAGTAAACATCGATTGGAGTTTCATAGAACTTACCCCACCATTGCCTCCATTCCTGTCACTTATTTGAATACGGATCACTCTATCGCGTTCACACTCTATAACGTTCAGAGGAGCTCTGTGTGATACGGCTGCGCTGCATTTCTTACAGGCTACTCCAGCCCACATGTACGAGATCGGCGTGCCGTCCGACTCGCGCGCCGCGCGCGGGGACCGCCACGCCGCCCGCCAACCACCAGCGCCCCGCTGGGCTTAGTAATCCTGAGAGGGGCTGTGTGGGATCATTGTGGAGGGATGCTAGTGGTCATATGAGATCAGCGATGTGTTAGAACATATGGACTCGTTTTTATCTTATTTTTGCTGTTGTGGATATGATAGAGGACGTCGAACATGCCTCTGACTGATTGTACTTATGCAAACTATCGGAGGAAATGATTCACCAAAGAACTGGGAAACGACTCGAGCTAGCAGGAAGGCATCGGGTCACATCTGAGCGTCGGGCACATCCTAGCGTAGTTGTGGAAAGGCCGGAAATCCATTGGACGTCGTCCAATGTATCAAAGTCGTGTGCTTTTCTCCCCACGTCTATGAACGGTCAGTGCCGTCGCCGACATGTGTAACTGATCGTACAGTGCACACCCTCCTGTATCAGTGTCCTCCTTCGCGCCGAACCGGACCGCTCTGTAAGTGGCTCGTGAGACGACGCTGCGCGCCTTTTGTGTTGACAGGACTCGGACGCCGAGCAGCCGCCGCGGAACGCCCCTTCACGGAGTGCGCGCCAGCAGCCGCCCGCCGCTACCACCACCACTGCCTCATCAGCTGCTCCCACTGCTGGAGATGATAGGTACTGGTTGTATCCCACCCGCTTAACTACGACGGGGTCGTCAGGGGTGTGTGATGTGTGTCTTAAATAAACTGGTTTGGTAAATATGTCGCTGTATTAACGCTATAACTGATTGTAATGATAAATCAGAGCAAATTAGATCGAATTTATCTCGTATTAATAACAGACTTTTTCCAACTCCCGGTAAAGTAAAGAGATAGATAGTTTTCTTAATTGGCGCCCAAATATTTCATTTTACGGTTCTCAAATGGATCGTTGCCAGACGCCGTACCTACTGTGTGTTTGCGCGTGTTCTTGATACTGACACGGCTTTCCTCACGGTAGCCAACGCTCTGTTTCAGGAGATCTCAGACTACCAGCGGCGGCCGCTCACCGGGCGCCGTCCCGTCGGCGGAGGCCAGTCGAAAGGACTCGCTGCCGGGCTCAACCTCGAGCTCGGAGCGCGCTCACAAGGACGGCCGGAGAGGGTCGGAGGACCGCGACCGGCGCCAGGACAGTGAGAAGGGCAGAGAGGAGTCGGACAGGGAGCGCAGGAGTAGCGAGAGGGAGAGGAAGGAGCAGAGTGAGCGAGACGGGGCCGCGCGGCGCGCCAGCTCTGATAGTGAGCGGGACAGACGGGACTCGGACAGGGGACACCGGGACGGCGACAAGAGTCGGCGTGATGGAGACAGAGACCGGCGGGACGAGCACAGAGATAGCCGCGATGGCGACAGAGATCGGCGAGACGCTGATAAATCGCGCAGCGGCGGCGATCGTCGCGACTCTGACAGGAGCAGGAAGGATGGTCCTCGCGACAAACGGGACCTGGACCGGCGGTCAGACCGGCGGGGCCCCGACCGCCGGGACCGCCGCGACGACCGCGGCCGCGGCCGGAGGGGCGGAAACCGGGACCGGCGCGACCGCGGCCGACGCGACCGCCGGTCCAGCAGAGACCGCGACCGCCGGGACCGACACAGCCGCAGCCGCAGCCGGGACCGCGACCGGCGCTCCAAGAAGAGGTCGCGCACCCGCTCACGCACACCCGACCGCAAACGGAGGTCCAGGTATGTACGAGATCTAGAGTGTATATTGTATAAGGCCCCTTAATTTGCTTTATCTTGTTGCAGACGCCACAGTGTTCTCTTATTTCAATTACGTCCTCATCCCCATTTGCCCTTGATACGTTACATTAACCTATTCATTGCATAAAAAGTACATGCTTTGCAGAACGCAGCGTGCAGGTGAAGCGCCACTGACAAGTCAGGAGCTGGGGCGTCGGGCCAAAATAAACCCAGCCGTCGGATGGTGTTCAATTTCTTTTTTTACGGTATGTTCCGATCCGCTGACCGGCACCTATCTGACCGACAGCTCTGAGGACGGAGATCGCCCGAGGGTGACCCCCGGCGTGCCGGTCCTGCCCGGCCCCAAGGGGCCGTCCATGCTGAACCCGTTCCCCTACTACAACCCGACGGTGCTGCCGCCGCTGCCGCCTGGCGCCGACAAGGAGAAGGTCCGCGAACGCCTGGAGAAACTCAAGAAACAAGGTGGGTGCCGGGACCAGTATGTTGATCTTGTTGGGATACGCCCTATGGATAATTTGGCTGTTAGGTGACAAAAATGTGACGTTGAACGCGGTCAGTCATCTATTTTTCTAATCTGCTTAAAATCGCTCAATGTTCATTGTTCATCGCGGGCCCGCGTTATTTTAACAATCGACCTCGAAACTATGTTACTCGTGTTGCGGGCTGTATCACTGGCACGCCTTATTTCCGCTACGGCTTAGCGCTATCACTTGGTCCAGAAATCGGGAAACCCCGGCCCTGCTTTCACTCCACGGCAATTAGCTGCTGTAGCTGTTTGTTTCTGTGCGTTTTGACCCCATCAACGGCTGTTGTGTCTCTATGTGACCCTGTCTGACCCCTTCCCCGTGTCCGTGCGCAGGCAACCTGCAGGTTTACCAGCAGATCATGAGCGGCGTGCCCCAGACGCCGCCACAGCTGGGTGGGCCGCTACCGCGCTTCATGACCGCGACCGCGCTCAACGCCGCCAAGTTCGCCGACCAGGAGCGAAAGAAGAAACTGCTCTGGGGAAACAAGGTAAGTCGGCCTGACGATTGTTGGTTTATCATGCTTGTTACCAACTTAGTATGTGAGTTATTGCCTGGGTATAATCTGGGTATTAATTCGAAGCGTTTGCCCTTTGAAGATAGAAACGGCATGACATTTTATTGTGACATGACGGAGTGATCGAAAATTTTGCTTTAATACTCTGTCCCACGCCTGATTTCATTTCCACCCCTCGCCTGGCCTCCCTGGTGACGCCTTCCTCCTGTTTCGGCCGGCAGAAGGCGGAGGCGGAGCAGCAGGCGGCCGCAGAGTCGGGATCCGCCGGACCCTCGACGGCCGGCGTCTGGAAGTCGGCCGCCTTCGAACAGGACAAGGACGGCAAAATGGCCACCAAGTTCCTCAAGCTGATGGGCGTCAAAAACGCCGAAGGTATGTCGTAGGGAGGGTATTGAAAGTGGTAATCGAGTGTCATGTCTCGTATCTCGATTCCTTAGTGTCGTCAAGGAATTCGTCACGGGGATGACATTTTTCTGGGGGTGTCTCGTTTCGATCGCTACTATGTTCATTTTTACTTTCCCGAATATCTGATGAAAATTGACGTCAATTCCCTCCTGGATTACACTATGCAACAGTCATTTTGTTCCTGAGTAACGACCGATTTTTTTGAACTCATTGGGTGTCATTATAACCGAAATGGGCATTTGTTTTGATCTGAAAATGCTTTTCCGGTTTTCAGAGACGATTTTCGATTTTTGGCCCCGAAATTCGGTTTTCGGCCCACCGTGTCCGGTGTAATTGAGTAATCGACTCGTGGTAACTTTCATCGCCTTTCCTATGCCACAAACTTTCGAATGATATCCGGTTTTGCATATTTGCGTGTAAAAATAACGTCATAAATCTATGTTAAAGTAAGAAAATGTTGAAATTTTGTAAAAAAAAGAAGACATTTTTGCGATTTTATTACAGAATAGAGAAAAAACTAAAGACCCTATCGAAATTCTGAGCCCAGTTTCTTGAAGAGCATTCAATTTCCGTTCGGAAGGTACTATTTTAGTGCATTTTATCGGTTTACTGTGGCGTCCAGATTGAGTCACTGGAAAAACGGGCCCCCAGCCATTTCCATGACAATATGTGTTCAGTGCATGAAGAACCATTCTAACAAATGGAGGTACAGATCAAGATTCTGAGCGACAGGACTGCTCAAAAGTAAGTTCCTGCGTGTGACCCGAGGTCACAAGGGGTCAACGACATGACCTCAGTTGACCCCTCGTTGACCCTATGGCGTTAACATACGGTATCAGGTTAATGCTATGTGATATGACCTAGGATATGTGTTTAGGTTAACTCAATCTGGACGCCACAGGAATCCGATAAAATGCACTAAAAAAGTACCTTCCGAACGGAAATTGAATGCTCTTCAAGGAACTGGGCTCAGAATTTGGATAGGGTCTTTAGTTTTTTCTCTATTTTGAAATGAAATCGAAAAAATGTCAAAATTTTACAGAATTTCAACATTTTCTTACTTTAACATAGATTTATGACGTTATTTTTACACGCAAATATGCCATTCGAAAGCTTGTGGCATAGGAAAGGCGATGAAAGTCACCACGAGTCGATTACTCAATTACACCGGACACGGTGGGCTAAAAACCGAATTTTGGGGCCAAAATCGAAAATCGTCTCTGAAAACCGGAAAAGCATTTTCAGATCAAAACAAATGCCCATTTCGGTTATGATAGGACCCAATGAATAAGAAAAATTCGGTCGCTTTCCAGGAACAGAAAATCTTTCATTTTTTGTTGCATAGTGTTATCCGTGTACGATGGTGTGTTAGATGATTCTCTTGCGTTGTTATATTCTATTAACCCTACACCTTGAATAGGTGGCGCCATCACTACCAGACTGCGAGGGGCCTGTTTCCCTCGCCAACCCCGCCCTCTCTCCTTCCCTCCACCGTTACTTTCGGGGGCAGATTGATGTTCCACCACTCCCTACCTATCGGGCTCCCATGGCTCAGCACTGGCTGCTGCCAGTGGCAGCACTGGCAGCACTGGCACTGGCAGGCAGTGCTGACCAGTGCTGAGGGCAGGCAACACTGGCAGCAGCCAGTGCTGAGCCATGGGAGCCCGATGGGTAGGGAGTGGTGGAACATCAATCTGCCCCCGAGTGTACCGCCGATCAGCTCTAACCTCTCGCCCCTCCGACAGAGGTGGCCTCCAAGAACACGGAGGCCTCCGAGGTGGTTGAGAAGCAGAAGAAGATGTTTGAAGAGATGGAACACCAGTACGAACAGGGCCGCGTCAACACACACATGCAGAAGGGCTTCGGGCTCGGCTACACGACGCAGTACCTGCAGCCCAAATCCTAGTCGGCCGGTCGGACAGTGCCGGGACTCAGACGCTGAACGAACTCTCGTGTGGTCGGTGTCTTATGCGAAACGCTTCATTTGAGTGTCATGAACCTGTGTGTGGTGTGTTGCGCGACTTTTGGGGCGGTTGCGGATACTGCGGGGGAGCCCGACCCTGTGTCGCGCGGCTCTAAAGTCTACGGGCCACGGGATGACCTGAATGATCTGCGGTCGCCCCCGTGGGGTGGGGGTTTGGGTCGTGTCTGGGCGGACGGGAGCCGCCTCCGTGCAGTGGAGGTACCGCCCGGGTGGGTGGCGGGACGCGACAGTCCTCGGTTTGTTACGGTTGTAGTGTCAGGGCCACCCATCACCTACATTGTCGTATTGATATATCAGCTTGGAGGTGTCATCTGCTGAGTAATAATACAGTTGTGATCGCATTCTGTGGCGTCTGATAGGGGGAGGGAATATGTGAATTGGTGTTAACCAGCGCCGCTGCCAGTCCTTGGCTCTGAGAATGTAACTCCGTTCGATATGTGCCCGGTGGAGGGCGGATGACGCGAGAAACAAGGCAGGACAAAAACAAATCAGGACTGTCTGGGAACATACGCCAATAACTCGTTGCTTCGAGAAGGGACCCACGGTTGCACACCGCACAAGTCCATATGAATATGTCCATACGTTACGCCGTTACGCGCGAAGTCCGATTAGTGGAAAGCAGGGAGACTTGGACGATTAGATAATATAGCTAGGAGTTCGGTTCTGAATCAGCTATTCGCTACGCCGCTTACTGCTTTGGCAACGGAAGTTGCTCAATTTCGTTACGGATGCGTTTCTATAACTTAGAACGGTGGACGATCAGTACCGAGGCGCCTATTTTCTCGCGTGCTAGGGCTACGGACGCGGAGTGGGTCCCAGTTCACTCTTTGGACTGGGCGCCGGTGACCGACGCGCCATCACGCCAGTTTTCCCCAGGTGGCGCCCCTATCGGTCAGACGGAAAACTACTAATTCCTACCCAGCATCCTGCCCGCTTTGGGCGCTGATGACCACTGTAGTCCGGGCGCCCAAAAACCCCAATTCATCATCACAGGCCACAGCATCCTGCCCTATCATACACGCCGTTCCAGCACTCCCGCCTGGCTCTTGGGCCACAACAGACGGCGGGGGTCAAGATCACCCGCTCAGGGGTGACGGATTTGTGGTGACCAAACACCCACAGTTCCTTCCAAGTCTCCACCCATGCCATCAGGGACGCACCTTTCGGCCGATGCTCTTGAGATCGATGTTAGTAACGATCATTTACTCTGATTCAAATTGATTGAAGAATAATATCAAGAAGAATAGCTCGAATAGATGAAGAATAGATGAAGAATAGATCAATAGAATAGTCTTTGCATGCTTCGATGGGAAATTGTATCAGTAATTGTTTGAAATGCTTTTCGGTCCCTGTCATTCTGAGACGTCTCATAATGGAACACCACAATAAACCCCTTTCCTTCTACCGCGCACAGCAATTGGATTTGGCCAGTCATATGATACACCTATTCCCTGAGCGTGTCCCATCCAGTCTGACATTCGTGTTTCTTCCAAAGCCAGCAATCATTTCGTTTCATATTTATTATATCTGTTTGACCCACAACATGACGTCTGATGACTTTGTTACTTTGCTTTCACGATGCGCCGGTTCCACGGCAAGTTCATAGCGCAGCACACAGGCGCGCATATTGTACAAATTCACAAACAAACCTGTACAAAACTGAGCATTACATGGTACAAAACACAGACCGACACGAGGCAGACAGCACTCTCACCACCGGCTGATTATTGCGCAATAAATAATAACGACGCCACAAAACCAAGCGGTGCGCGGGCACGGCGTTCCCGCCAACCCACACCGCATCTATTTAAAGCTAGTGCTACCAGCTGCCGCTGCTGCTCACGACCGGCCGGCCGGCCAGCCGGGCGGGCCCGCTCCGACCCCACTTGAGCAGTCTCTGGGGCGGCACACGGGAGAGAGACAGAGACAGAGACGAGGCGGCCGCCGCCGCGCCGGCCGCCCTATCACAGGCTGCCGGACGCGGGCCCCGTATTGCACTAGGAGACGGGCGGTCGACCGGCGGGCGGCGGCGGCGGCGGCGGCGGCTGGGCGGCCGGTCACGACTGCTCCGGCCGCATCACCAGGCCTCCCTGCGGCTGCACCTTGAACGTTAGGCCGCCAGTGTTGCCCTGCAGTCGCGGGATCTGGATTTGACCCAGCACCTGGTGACGGTGGCGAGACGGGTCAGAGACTTGGTCAGAGGCAGGCACACTTCAGGTGAGGTTCATCTCCGTCTAGGACAGACATCTCAGTCAGAGTCACAAGGACGACTCGGTGAAGGGCACGGGGGGGGGGGGGGGGCGGCCAGAGTATACGGGGCTCCGTGGGGGGGGGGGGGGGGACATTACAGCTTTGCCGGCAAAACGAGCACCTCTGGCAGAGAAGCGTCAAGTTCCAGCAAGAGACTGAACAGCTCAGTCACGGGTAAGAACGACTCAGTCGGAAACAAGAGCCACCGGCCAGTCAGGAAACGCAACGGTTACACACTCACAGCTAAGTCTGAGGCACACAGGCGCATCAGGACAGGACAGCCTCGGTCAACCACCGTCAGAGGAATCTATTTGACAGAGAGGAGGAGCCGAGTCGGAGCTGAGTCAAGGATCGGCGGCGCCAGACAGGCGGGCACCAGGCACACGGTAATCAACGGTGCGGAATGGGGCGGTCCGCGGCGGCCGTTATCGTTACCCAGGGCATCATATATGGCTCACAGTAAAAACCGTTGGTCGATACAGACTCCTAATGGCCAGTCTGCGTCACACCGTCCGCACCCGTACCAAACATACGGTAAACACATTCTTTCAAAACACCTTCCTGTGGATTGTTGGTAATGGAATAGCACATTAAAACCAGCACAACCGCCATGATATAATGTCAACTAGTGAAGCAATATTATACACCAAGTAACAACCCTATTGCCTACACCGCGCATCTTCTCCATCCCAGCGTCCAGCATGTTACATACCTGCTGCGGCAAGTGGTGAACCGGCAGTGTAGAAGGCGCACCGATCCTGGCCACACGCTGTCCCAGACTGACACCGCCTGAGCCCGCCTGGGCCATTCGGTTAATCGGCACTGCGAGGCACAGGGAGCGGCGTCAATGGCAAGGCGGTACCAAATCGCACGATAACACAGAGTCACAGACTGAGCGTGTAACCGTTTACCGTGCCAGTGACTACGGTAATGGCCATGTAACGCCTGTAAAGACGTTAATACTATTTGTTAGTAGCTCCACGTGTCGGCAAGTTGGTAAATCGGCTTGAAAATTCATCATATGCCCAGTTTATTGCACATCAAGCCCTAAATCTACAGATAATTTTGCTATATCTCCACAACCGACAAAAAATCAAAGCGTCATTATCGCATTCCTATCGACTGTATGTCTCAACAAAAACGTCCGTGCGGTCTCCGGTTTCTCGGCCGGGCGGCGGCGGCGGCGGCGCGGTTGTTGCCACGTCCCGCTCACCGCACTGGCCATTGATTCATTGATCGTGTGATGCACGGGCTCGGTCAGGACGCGCAATAGAGGGCGGAGGTGGCGCCCGCAGCAGCCGGGGTGAGACTAATCTCTGGTCACTGACTCCGAGGAGAGGAGAGAAGCAGAGGAACAGAGCGATGTTGAGACCTCATAATAGGATACCAAATGGAGGCAGCCAGACTGACCTTTATTATTGGAATTGATGGCAATCATCTTGGTATCGTTTGAGATTCCCTGCAGCTGAGAGAGCGCGCTGCTCGGCAGCGTCAGCCGAATGTTGGACGGCAGACCGCCCTTGGGCAGCTGGATGTTGACCTGTTGCGTGGACAGGCCGGCCACCTGACCCAGGGTGACGTTCCGGCCGCCGGGCGGCAGGTTCAGCAGCGCCGGCTGCTGCTGCTGCTGCTGCTGCTGCTGGGGCGGCGGCTGCAGCTGCTGCGCCGGCTGGTGCTGCCGGGCCGCCACGCCGCCCCCGGCCGCCGCCGCCGCCGCCGCCAGCACCGCGTTGACGGCCGCCGCGGTGCCCGACTGCTGCAGAGGCACGGTGAGCGCCGTGGCGCCGGCAGCAGCGGCGGCGGCGGCCGAGGCGGCCGGCGGACGGGCGGCCACCGGCGCCGCGCCCGCCGCCGCCGCCGCCCGCTGCTTCTTGACGGCAGCGGCGGCGGCGGCGGCGGCGGGCGACTCGGGCGGCCGCTTGGTGGGCGTCAGCTGGCCGTTGGCGGTGGCCGTGACGGCGGTCGGCGCGGCGGCGGTGGCCGGCGCCGAGCGCGTCTGGTTCACCTTGAGCAGCGACTGCTGGCCGCGCCGCGCCGGCTGGAACATGCTGCGGAAGGCGGCGCGCAGCTGGCTGGTCTGGTCCACCAGACTGAGGCAGCCGCCGCGACTGCTGAGGTGCAGCGCGCCGCCCACCTGGGAAAACGGCGGTCCAATGTCAGACGCGCGAATACCAGACTACATGTCAAACAGCGCGAGTAAATACAGAATGCAGAATCTAACGCGCCCACAGCGGTGCATCGCGAATGGACCCACATTTGTGAGGGAGTGCAGGGGTTTGCTTAGAATATGTCCCATCGTTGTGCTTTCGAGTTCTGCTTGATAATATGTCTCACGGTCCACACGCTTCGCCACCAAGCCCACGTTACATTCGCACGTTAAACCGCGCTATCCCTAACACGCTTGGTGAGCCAGACGTCAAAACAAACTAGCCAGGACACGCAACATCTGCCGGAGACTTCGTGTTTACCGCTGGCACGGTGAAAACCGAGTGCCTACGCTCTAAACACCGACTGGCGACCGCAAACACATTTAGTACAGACATTTTTCAATCGTGCCAATTACTTCTAATTTGTCAGAGTCCCACCACAACGATTGCTGTTGATGTTGATATTGTTGCAAAAGCGCAACGAGAAGGCGAAACGATGGCGACCAATTGAGCGAAGATTGACAGCATAGAACGGCTACCATCTGGTTCAATGGACGGACACGTTAAGTGATATATTACGCGTCCAATGAAACGAGGCACAGCCTTGATAATATGTAATGTATTGCTATGCCTAACGGCCATCCTAAGCACGGTATTATCCAGCCTGGACCACTCATTAGCACCTCTCCCGTCCCATCTCCAGCCCTAAACTCTCCCAGCTACTTATTCACCGTGCGAGTAACTACTGCACTCACCGCCAGCGGCTGCGGGTGGCTGGGGATGCGCGGCACGCTCGGCTCAGGTGGCGGCGGAGGAGGACGGGCAGAGGCGGCGGCGGCGGCGCGCGGCGGCACGCCCGACGGCGGCGGCATGCCGTCGTCATCTGCAGAGCTGGAGCGGTCCCTCCGGAACACGGGTGAGTTGGTAATGTTGTGGTAGGTGACCATGCCGCCCTGGCGTGACGGAGACACCGCTGCCGCCGCCGCCGCCGCCGCAGAGCCCGGGTGACCCTCCGGTGGCACAAATTTGGGGTCGAATCGCATCGACATCGGTTTCTGTGGAGAAGAGAGACACGTAGTGACTAACAGCGTATTGAGTATGCATGCGTTCAACAGGCGCCCAGCTTCTGTGAAGAACGAACGGGAGGCTTGAAGGTAAAAAGTCAACCACTAAAAGCGAGCAATCTGCTAAATGAATGACACACATGGTGCATAAAACGCACTGGTTCGGGTTCTGAAAAGCATAGAGCAGCTGCAAAACCTGTTAGCTTGTCAACTTATATCCTTTGGTTTAGGTAAATAAAGTTAATTAGGCAACCGAAGTTTTATGTTTGGGTGAGAAGTGAGAACAAAATAAACTGAACTGAGCTGAACTGAACGAATCAACCATATAAAGCCCAGGTCAGCCGGTACTGACAGAAAGCATGGTCCCCTACATGAGCCCAAGCCCATCCGATACTCACGATCGTATCTCGTTCTCGCGTCTTTCCCGCCTTGAAACGGGCCAGCAGGTCTTTAAAGGGCACCGGTCGGGGCACCTTCGACTTCTGTTCGAGGTTGTGCTGTCGGCAGTCGAGCACTCGCGTGCAGTTCTTATTTCGCTCCGTGATCCACACACCACAATGTTTTCTCGGGTCGTACTGCCGCGGCTGGTGGCCCAGTTTAGATTTCTTCGAGCACAGAGAGCCACCACTACCACTCGCACGCATTTTGGCAAAGTGTTCACTAATCGAACTAGCGTCGGCCGTGTCCGTCAGTGGCCGCGACGGCGACGACGGCACACTCTTGAACTCGGCCTTGGACGGCACACGCGGCGACACGGCGGGCGGCGTCGGAGCCGCCGGCGCCGGCGGGGGCGGGAGCGGCGGCGACGAAAACACTGACATGGGCGGCTCGGGCTCGAGCGGCGCGGCGGCGAGCGGCGACCCAGAGATGGCCGCCACCGCCGCCGCAGTCTCGTCTGCCGCGCCGGCGTCGCTCTCGAACTCGTTTAAAATATCCACGAACGCGCCGGGCACCACCTCTGTCTTCAGACTGAGGACGGCGCCGAGCGGCTCCTCTGAGGAGACCACCTCCACGCCGCCCACCACCAGCTCCTGTTTCACCTCGGGCGGCTCCTCTTTGATCACAACTGGAGGGGGCTGCGGCGGCACCACCACCGGCACCGACGGCGGGCACGGCGACGGCACCGGCGGAGGCGCCGGAGTCGCTGGCGTCGGCGGCACGCTCGGCACCGGCGCCAGGGAGCCGATCATGTCCACCACGGCGGCCGTGTCGTCGTCCACCACGTCCGGCACGCACGGCGCCACCGGAGACGTGACGTGCACCGGCGACAGCATGTGCGACTTGTAGGAGGGCACGGCGGCGAACAGCGACTCGGGGATGCTGTTGATCATGATTTTCACCTGGAACCGTTCGGCCTCCTCCCGCAGCCGCGCGGCGCTGTAGTCCGGGTGGCGCAGCGCTGTCGGCATACAACACACGGCTCAAGTATACTCACTCAAAAATATTCAATGGTTCAATAATCAATACCAACACCAATCCAGCTAGTTCATTCTCCCTCCCCCAACACACACTTGCACACATGTACGACATTGTTTTGTTAGGTTGAGCAGAAACACGAAGCGTGGCATAGCTTTTAGATCAAGCAGACAGCAGAGCTCGGACAAACGGTCGAACACACTGAGGTGATAGCCGCCTGCCGATAGGGATCAGATGTGACATCAGGGCGTGACTGAGATCAGAACTAGCATCATCAAGCGCGTCACGCAACGGTCCGTAACAAGCGTCACGGGGTCACGAATACTGCTGCACATAAACTTAACGACATACTGGCACGAGGAAGTAACACCTGGTAGGCGTTTAACAGCCAGTGTGACAAAATGAAGACGGAGTGCAAGTATCTTCCCCATTAGGCATGTCATCTAACGTGTTTATGTCAAAGCTTGCCTTTGAAATTAAGCCAACAAATAAACCAAAACAAAGTGCAAAAACTCCATAATGATCACCGTCGATTATTGGAACTCCATAACAATAAAGGCTCAATGTGACAGTAAGATCGACACGCACACAAGGTTTACACTATGGCCAACAACGAAGAAGATCCTGCCCATTCCATCACAGGAACACCACTCTTTCATCCCCACACCAGCGAACCGTTTACCTACCTCGCCGCTACCATCGTCCACCCCAGTCGGCGTCGGCGGAGCTGCGGGAGGCCACACTCACCCATGTGGTCCTTGACCGACTGCATCTTGACCGGACACTTGCAGAGCCTGCAGCAGACGGTGGCGAACTCCTCCAGTTTGGGCATGTCGCCCAGCAGCGGCTTGTCTGCGGAACACGGGGCAGAGCGGGGCCGTCAGGACACGGCGGAACCTCGACAAAACTACTACTAAAACTGCATCAAACAGGATACAAGAACGTCGATTACGACGGTAGTAAAAAAAAAAACATTAGCATTAACTCAGAGAGTATGTAGGCACTAGGCAGTGCCATTGCATCAAAGAAAAACCTGGCGCCGATTACCTATGCGTTTCGCAGTTGAATTGAACATGCATTGAACGGCACTTGGTACACACCGAGGGTATCCATCGCTGGCACGCGTCCGTCAACCTACCGTCGAGCGTGAGTTTCGTATGCATGTCGCCGCTCTTCCGCCGTTTTTCCGTCCGCGCATCTGAGGAACACACAAGACGTAGCTCGGTTAGCAGAATTCCGCATGATCACAAATACCGGCGCAAGTAATTGTACGGGAAATGATCATTTCACATTCAGGGTCTACAAATACCCAGTCATCTAGGTTGACACCAAACCGAAAAACAAAGCAAAAAGGCATTATCTGCTATTAACATATTAAATAAAACTAATTAATGCCATCCAAGACATTGCAGCACCTTTGAGTATGTCACCATAGCCGGTGTCATTGCATGTCACTTGAACGTAGCCACGAGCAGCCGCACACAAGTCGGTCCTACAAGCAGCCTACACGCCACCGTTCCCGCTTGGTCAACCAAGTATCGTGCGACATTTAGCGGCCAGTCCTGCATCCGGGGCGGCCGAGGCCAGACATGAAATCTCACTGATCAAACAATGTAGGTTAGTAGTCACTGTGAAAACAATTACCTACATCAGCAAAGATAAAAAATTATGGGCGATTGATGAAAACCAATCGATTGGTACTAAGAGGAGCGTTTTGTCACATTCGTACGAAATCAGCTGAAAAAAACAAGCATCACGATCAAAACTGTATACTCAATGGCGTCACTGTATAAATGCACGATTGATACATGGTGTATGTGGTTTGATATCTCTTGTATGTTAAAGTGATTCGTATAATAAATAGGGGCACTGGACAGCTTCATTTTTATTTTGCCATAGTGCGTTCAATGGATGTATTTCTGATGTAATCCAGGCAATGAACCACAACAATACACAATAGCATTGTTGTAAGCATTTAATCGGGACAATCCGGGACGCGAGTTTCCTAAGTGTGGAACTGTCCATACCTAAGGTCTCTGATTGGCGTAAGCTTCGCCAAGATGACGTTACAGGCTGTGACGTCATGGCTCACAGTCGGCCGACCAATCGCTGCACGATTATGGGCTAGCGGCGCGCGGCACTAGCGCCCCTGGTGTTATTATGGGAAGTTGAGCAATACATTGAAATCTCATACGTAGCTTGTGTTGGGAACAATTACGTATTACTAAGGCGTCAATGTCTCACAAATTAATTCGTCCATGCTCCTCAAATTTTGCAAAGTGACCTTATATTGTGCGTCATAAGGTACTACGCTTCAAACAATCAGCACACAGCACCAGCCAGGCACTGTTACAAGTAGTGCCTGTTATGGCGGAATATGCCGTGACCTGACATGACCCGATAAGAGGTACAGCCCGATTGCGCGATGCTCTGCGCGGACAGTTTGAGATGGCGCTCGCAGTGGGGAAGCCTGTGTATGTTTCCGCCATAACAGGCACTACTACTACTTGAATTTAGACCTCTCCGTGGCCGAGTGGATAAAAGCGCCGGAATTCGACGCTTAGCCCACCGTTCCGTGCTTCTATCCTCAGGATACTGAAATCCTTCTCCTCCACGCCGCAACCCCCTTCCGGGCTGGACAGGCAACTTTATCTCATGCGGGCTGCTCCCTTGGAGCGGCACCGCTGCTCCCGAGGGAGCGCACCCCGTAGCCGGGTGCAGTGAGTGCCTTGGGGCTGGGTGGCCTGTCCTCTGGACGGGCTCAGCCCCGGCGACTCACTAGGGTGCCTGCCCAGACCAATGTCTCCCCCTATATCCTATCATCCTCCCGGCTCTGAAATGGTCTAATTGGACCGAAAGGGCCTAACCCAACAAAACAAAAAAAAACAAACGCTTAGCCGGAAGTGAGAGCCCGGTTCAAGCCCCGGTGCGGGCGGCCACATTTAGCTCCTACGTGTAATGGCGTGCGTGTCTGTGGCAGGGGCCGCACAGAAGCCAGGTAACGTGAGTGAGCGGAGGGGACCGTGTCCAGTCGTGAGGGCACGTTAAACGTTCGGACAAAATTCTGCCATACAACTGGAATTGCGCGATCGGGTGGTGGGGTCAGGGTCAGCACAACAAGCTATGCTTAGTGCGGGCTCTGATTCCTCAAATCCAACCATTCAGCCATTCGGACTAAATTTATAAAAAAAAAAGTAGCGAGCAGTTAAGTGGCGGCAGGTGGCGCTACCATCTCCAGCATCGGTCCAGATGGCGTCACTCACTATCCGCACTATAGATCCGCACTACCTGCTAATAAAAAAAAAAATAAATAATAAATCCGCTAATAATCTCGCTAATAAATCTGCTAATAATAAATCCGCACTTCCTGCTAATCTGTGTCCTATTGGTGTCAAACATCATTCAACGCCGACAGGCAGTAGGTATCACCAGCCGTAATACTGAAGTAATTTACTCAATGCTGAAGCTGAAACGCAGTGCACAAACCCCACCGTCAAAACTCAAGCACCTCGTAGGAGATATGCTTCCAAGGTGGGCGAATGCACGAACGATAACTGAAATAACACCGGTTATATATTCACGTAGAACAAGTTGCTTTTTCCCTAACTAGGGAACTCTCTAAAATTAAGACTGGCTAAATATTTACGCAGGATAACTGGCTCCGCCTCTTCGCCAACTTAAGGACCCGCCAATCCATGCACCTAGCCGCCAGCGCCAACTGATGACGTCACTCGAACGGGCCACGGTATGAATAGTTCCACACTTAGGAAACTCGCATCCGGGACGGCCGCAGAATTTTGCTTTTAACAAGTCCACATGGCACGAACACAGCCAAGGGCACAGCCACAGACCACTTCGCGCAATGATGAAACTGGCCAGCATGCCAGTGGCAGCTTAAACGTTCTGCGGCAATTTGGCAGACCGTTATAAGTTCATTCTCTATTTGACGTAATCTCTGTCACGGTTTACATATCTTAAACATAGGACATCTTCATTATCAGGTACATCATGTCACTGCCCTGTTATTCCATCGTCAGGTTATTGAGGAAAAAGATGGCATTCATAATTGAGGATAAGATATTGATGTAACGCTGCTAGCTCGGATTGTCGTCATTATGGGCGAATGTTACCCGGCACACTGCTGGTGGCCAGGAGCGGACGCTAGGTGCGGGGCAGTGTTGGAAATAAGACCCTTCTCTGGTCCCAGCCGGGTCCAAAAGATTTTGTCCTCGCTTACAAATTATGCTCCAGCACCTAGAATATTCTAAATTTTCCTTTTCTGTATGGTGGGTAGGTTGTCATAAAAGCTGGCCGCTTCTCCGGACAAATTTTATTCTCCGGGACAAGGACCGAAAACAAAAATTCCAACACTGGTGCGGGGGCAGGTCTCATGATTGCACCCCTTAGTTCTCAGTTCCGTTCCTCTTCACATTGCCGCAACAATGGACTTGCGACGATGGAAAGTTTCTTGGGACGTACTTTCAACATCTTGTAGCAATCGAACGAACTTAACGAACATGCCGAGCGATCGCCCTTCCGGAAGTACTCCGGTCGCGTCAAGTCAAGGTAAGTCGAGGGAATGATGCCATCGAACTGTAAAGAGTAAGCTTCACTAACATTTAAAGTTGTTCATGCCGTCCATTACCTTATTTCGTCAATGCAGGAGCGGACACGCAGGGAAGGAATCGAGAGCTGTCACACGCATCCTCATTGAATTCTACCACATATAAAATCTCGTTTAAAAAATATAATTAGGAATGTAGTACGAGCCTTACACGGTCCACTCACTGACTAAAAGTGGCTGTGAGCCTGGCTGTACAATTCAACCACCGTCCGCAGTCTCATGTCAAGCGCCGGAGAGACCCGAACAACTCTAACCACTGAGGATCCGAGGCAGACACTGTGAAGTTAGTGACCTAGGGGACAATAAGATCGAATGCCTACTGAAACCTAAACGATATCATTAATTCGATTGAGGCACTGAGAATCCATATGCCTGAATTGGTATTTACATAGTTCCGATTCAAAGATTGTCCAGGAATGCAGAAAACGTTTACGCACTCAGTCCAAATGCGTAGCTACCAAACAGATTCCTAAGCTCGACTTCCTGAGCCAGAGGGATAGAAAACCTAATCCCATCAGCTTCCGAAAGAGGTCTTCTTAGCAATGGAAGCCAATGTAAGCCAGCGTTTTTTTTTGGGGGGGGAGGGGCTCAATGTAAATAAAATGAGGATGAAAAACCGTAGCCTCATAATAAGGTTGATGAAGACGTGAAAAGACAGCCCTTTCTATGACAATTGCCTTTGCTGAGTTTCGAAGGCAGACGCCAGCCTCATTCAGTGAGCTTCTGCCTCCATGAGTATCGTATCCACTGAAAAGGGCGGATGAAGCACTGGACTGCAGACCTGGACTGGTAGGCGACTGGCGATTCATTGCTTACGACGGAGAGGACCGAGATCGCTGACCGAGTTCAGCGAAAGCGCGTTGGTGACTGCGCTCGGCGGCGGTGATGCTACGGTGGCGCGTTCTGACGTCTGAGTGACTGGCCATTGACTAGGTATTGTGTACTTCTTATCTGCCCAAGACTGCAGCATTCATATTAGTATCCTACACTTGCCTTCTAAAGCTTTCTTGTGATGTCTTTATGAATCGAGTTGCTGTTTCAACTTTGCTGAATGTGATGCTAATTTGGATCCGATGAGAACTTTGCAGGGTGTTCTAGAACTGACACAGTTGATCAGTGTATGTATGTATGTGCAAGACAGGAAAAGAATAACTGCACTTTTCTTTATATTGTCCAATGTAGTCAACTAGAGCCTCTATGTAATGACACATGCAGTTGACACCCTTGTCACAAGATTAGCCAATGCTTGCAGAAAAAGAATGGTACATGTTGGTTTCAGTTGTTTCACAAACCCCCTGAAACTGACCATAAGCCTCTTTTCACTGATATCTATCCAGAGGGTGCAACAAATATTTCCAAAGGGATTTGCATCCAAACTGTTCCAAGTTGATCAAACATTCTTCCAAATACCAAGAAATACTACCTGCAACACTGTTGTGATACTGTTGACATTGTATATAATGTACACTTCAATGGTATGGGCTGAGCATGACATGGCCAGTTCTCAGAAAGCAGAATTTAGTACACAAGTTCTCCGTGTCTTCAAGTACACAAGTTCTCCGTGCCATGACCGTGTCTTCATTCTGCTCAGTATTAAAATTCAGTCCATACAAATCCATGCAAAAATTACCAACAGTTTCTGACCTACTTCCAACTAGGCACCACCTTAGCAATTATAACAGTGAAATACAATCACCTGACCACGATGTTAGGCACATTAATGGCATCCAATTTGAGGGTACTGTTGGCAAGCAATTGAAAATGTGGTTCTCAATATGATTAGGGCACATTTTTATTGGCATTTTACGTTTTTAGGCACCAAGATTTGTAAATTTTTATCATTTCACTGGGCCACTGGATGAGCACATTCTTGGCTATTTCTTCAAGTGTGATAATCTATACTCCAAACCAAGGCTGAATCATGCAGATCACCACAAATGAAGATGTTAATTAGATAACAAGTTCTCAGGCCTCTCCCTTTTCCCAAGGTTCCCTGATTGTCAGTAAATATTTAACATCTTAGTGAAGTTAGGTATTGATTTTGGGGGCACAAGTTAAGCACATTTAATGATAAATGTGTGGATGTTGAAGTTACACTGCTTCTTTCAATGCAAAACATTCATCAATCAGCATGGCAGCTGGTAATTAGGCAGCCAGCAACTAAAACATGTAATCATGTCACACGCAAAAGTGTTGATAATATCTACAAAACAATCTGAGAAATTGTAGAAATACACATGCGTACACAATCACATATTCCATTTACACATATTCTTTAACTTCATCGTATTAAATGCTTCTAGAATTTACAGCATATAAACAATACAAATAAAAGCCAAAAGGTATATCTGGTTCCCAAGGCATTTGCAATCAAAAGGGCATGTTGATGTTCCTAAATGTAGTACATTTATCAATCAATGATTATTTTTACAGCAAGTAACTTAATAATTATCTTATGAAAACAGGAACAAAAGCATCAGCAATCAGTTTCTATAAAGGAATTACTTACACATATTCAGCAATTCTAATTTTACTGTTACTGAACCAACTCAAGATAACGTAGATACCTAAATGCCAATTTTGCACTGTTTGGCCATTCCAATTAATTTCTTCTTAACCATCATTAAGCATTAAAAATAGTGAAAGCAACACCTTAAAACTTGAAAAGGTGTAGAAAACATGCCACAATGCATTGCTGCCTAAGCGGAAGGAAGTTGAACATGACCAAATTTACCTTGCCTTTCTAATAAAAACCTGAGCTTTAATTGCTGAAAATATATCAGGATACTGTTGAAAATAAGAACATCAATTCTTATTTTGATTAAAAAAGAATTAATAGCCCAGAATATGCTGAAAATATTCATTTAAAAGAAAACCTCGAGGAAAAAACAGCCGCGCCAGAAACGTCTCTCCAGGAAATGTGGCACACTTCTGACGCTGTTTTCACAAAATTTCCAATATATTCTGGACAACGAAATACAAAAATCGTATAATTGAATGCGCATTTTTCATTTACACTTACTTTCAGACGAGCTAGGGGTGTTGTCTTTGAGAAAACTGGCCCAGGAGTGTCCTGGGATTTCGTTCACTCCCCCACTCATCTTCGCCATCTTGCCAGCGACTCGCACGGCGCGTTCCGTTTGTTTTCCACTCTCAGCTGTGCGGGGAGCGCCTTGTAAAGGGAGTGTCTAAAAAGCAGACGAGATTAGCAGACGAGCCCATGCTCAGTAACTACTGGACCGATTTTGATAATTCTTTCACCATTCAATAGCAGGGAACTTATATAGGTGCCGTTTTTCGTTTTTTGGCGATTGGTTTACTCTGACTGGACCAATCGGACCAAAATGGTCCAGAACCATACACCCCCTTAAAAGCAGACGAGCCCATGCTCCGAAACTACTGGACCGATTTCGATGAAACCTTCACCATTAGACGCGCCGTGGTCTGAAACGGTGCCGTTTTGGATAATTTTTTGATTGGTCCACCCTAAGTGGTCCAAATCGGTCCAAAACCGCTAAAATCTGTTGCAGACGAGCCCATGCTCCGAAACTACTAGACCGATTTCGATGAAACCTTCACCATTAGACGCGCCGTGGTCTGAAACGGTGCCGTTTTTGATAATTTTTTGATTGGTCCACCCTAAGTGGTCCAAATCGGTCCAAAACCCCTAAAATCTGTTGCAGACGAGCCCATGCTCCGAAACTACTGGACCGATTTCGATGAAACCTTCACCATTAGACGCGCCGTGGTCTGAAACGGTGCCGTTTGGGATAATTTTTTGATTGGTCCACCCTTAGTGGTCCAAATCGGTCCAAAACCGCTAAAATCTGTTGCAGACGAGCCCATGCTCCGAAACTACTGGACCGATTTCGATGAAACCTTCACCATTAGACGCGCCGTGGTGTGAAACGGTGCCGTTTTGGATAATTTTTTGATTGGTCCACCCCTAGTGGTCCAAATCGGTCCAAAACCGCTAAAATCTGTTGCAGACGAGCCCATGCTCCGAAACTACTGGACCGATTTCGATGAAACCTTCACCATTAGACGCGCCGTGGTCTGAAACGGTGCCGTTTTTGATAATTTTTTGATTGGTCCACCCTGAGTGGTCCAAATCGGTCCAAAACCCCTAAAATATGTTGCAGACGAGCCCATGCTCCGAAACTACTGGGCCGATTTCGACGAAACCTTCACCATTCGACGCACCGTGGTGTAAAACGGTGCCGTTTTTGATAATTTTTTGATTGGTCCACCCTAAGTGGTCCAAATCGGTCCAAAACCGCTAAGATCTGTTGCAGACGAGCCCATGCTCCGAAACTACTGGGCCGATTTCGATGAAACCTTCACCATTCGACGCACCGTGGTGTAAAACGGTGCCGTTTTCGATAATTTTTTATTGGTTCACCCTAAGTGGTCCAAATCGGTCCAAAACCGCTATGATCTGTTGCAGACGAGCCCATGCTCCGAAACTACTGGGCCGATTTCGATGAAACCTTCACCATTCGACGCACCGTGGTGTAAAACGGTGCCGTTTTCGATAATTTTTTATTGGTTCACCCTACGTGGTCCAAATCGGTCCAAAACCGCTAAGATCTGTTGCAGACGAGCCCATGCTCCGAAACTACTGGGCCGATTTCGATGAAACCTTCACCATTCGACGCACCGTGGTGTAAAACGGTGCCGCTTTTGGATAATTTTTTATTGGTTCACCCTAAGTGGTCCAAATCGGTCCAAAACCCCTAAAAACTGTTGCAGACGAGCCCATGTTCCGAAACTACTGGACCGATTTGGATGAAACCTTCACCATTCGACGCGCTGTGGTCTGTAACGGTGCCGCTTATGGATAATTTTTTGATTGGTCCACCCTAAGTGGTCTAAATCGGTTCAAGTACAGCCCAAAAATACGTTTTCATGTAGTCAACCGATGAGCTGGTTTCCGCAGCGCGGAGGTGCCCCAGGCCCAATTAGCATGCATTTTTGCTCTAGTTTGGAAAGCAAAATGCATGACAATGGGTTTGGGGCACCTCTGTGCTGCAGAAATCTATCCGGACTCTGACAAAGTACAAACGGGTTTTAGGCATTTTGGACCGATTTCGACCCCTTAGAGTGGACCAATCAAAAAATTATCAAAAACGGCACCGTTTCAGACCACGGCGCGTCTAATGGTGAAGGTTTCATCGAAATCGGTCCAGTAGTTTCGGAGCATGGGCTCGTCTGCAACAGATTTTAGGGGTTTTGGACCGATTTGGACCACTTAGGGTGGACCAATCGAAAAATTATCAAAAACGGCACCGTTTCAGACCACGCCGCGTCTAATAGTGAAGGTTTCATCGAAATCGGTCCAGTAGTTTCGGAGCATGGGCTCGTCTGCAACAGATTTTAGGGGTTTTGGACCGATTTGGACCACTAAGGGTGGACCAATCAAAAAATTATCATAAACGGCACCGTTTCAGACCACGGCGCGTCTAATGGTGAAGGTTTCATCGAAATCGGTCCAGTAGTTTCGGAGCATGGGCTCGTCTGCAACAGATTTTAGGGGTTTTGGACCGATTTGGACCACTTAGGGTGGACCAATCAAAAAATTATCAAAAACGGCACCGTTTCAGACCACGGCGCGTCTAATGGTGAAGGTTTCATCGAAATCGGTCCAGTAGTTTCGGAGCATGGGCTCGTCTGCAACAGATTTTAGCGGTTTTGGACCGATTTGGACCACTAAGGGTGGACCAATCAAAAAATTATCAAAAACGGCACCGTTTCAGACCACGGCGCGTCTAATGGTGAAGGTTTCATCGAAATCGGTCCAGTAGTTTCGGAGCATGGGCTCGTCTGCAACAGATTTTAGGGGTTTTGGACCGATTTGGACCACTTAGGGTGGACCAATCAAAAAATTATCAAAAACGGCACCGTTTCAGACCACGGCGCGTCTAATGGTGAAGGTTTCATCGAAATCGGTCCAGTAGTTTCGGAGCATGGGCTCGTCTGCAACAGATTTTAGGGGTTTTGGACCGATTTGGACCACTAAGGGTGGACCAATCAAAAAATTATCCAAAACGGCACCGTTTCACACCACGGCGCGTCTAATGGTGAAGGTTTCATCGAAATCGGTCCAGTAGTTTCGGAGCATGGGCTCGTCTGCAACAGATTTTAGGGGTTTTGGACCGATTTGGACCACTTAGGGTGGACCAATCAAAAAATTATCAAAAACGGCACCGTTTCAGACCACGGCGCGTCTAATGGTGAAGGTTTCATCGAAATCGGTCCAGTAGTTTCGGAGCATGGGCTCGTCTGCAACATATTTTAGCGGTTTTGGACCGATTTGGACCACTTAGGGTGGACCAATCAAAAAATTATCAAAAACGGCACCGTTTCAGACCACGGCGCGTCTAATGGTGAAGGTTTCATTGAAATCGGTCCAGTAGTTTCGGAGCATGGGCTCGTCTGCAACATATTTTAGCGGTTTTGGACCGATTTGGACCACTTAGGGTGGACCAATCAAAAAATTATCCAAAACGGCACCGTTTCAGACCACGGCGCGTCTAATGGTGAAGGTTTCATCGAAATCGGTCCAGTAGTTTCGGAGCATGGGCTCGTCTGCTTTTAAGGGGGTGTATGGTTCTGGACCATTTTGGTCCGATTGGTCCAGTCAGAGTGAACCAATCGCCAAAAAACGAAAAACGGCACCTATATAAGTTCCCTGCTATTGAATGGTGAAAGAATTATCAAAATCGGTCCAGTAGTTACTGAGCATGGGCTCGTCTGCTAATCTCGTCTGCTTTTTAGACACTCCCCTTGTAAACGCGAACGGGCAGGTGTGCGGAGAGGGCCAATATTTCTATTTACGCCTCTTAGTCCACGGGTATCTTGAATGGATGATTTTCTCGTAAATTTGGAAGCTCTGGTAGCTTTGAAAGCTAACAAATAATGTATCAGCAGTGATATATCGGATATATCCAAGCATTGCGATTGGGACGAAGCGAAGCCGCGACATTCTGATTCGAAACGTGAGCTTGTTGCTTGTTGCTTGGTCCATGAAAAATGCATGCTTGATTGTGGTTGATGCTGCTTATCGGTCACTCTTGCCATTCAAATCTCATTATTCTTAGGTATATGATATATCTCGCCTCTGCCTAAGGTATGGGTGACTGGGTCAATTAGCATGACACCCGATTTGCAATTCCACGATGACCTACATCGGAGCGGAATGCCCACATGTTTCACCGGGGAAAGGGCGCGGAATCATTTCTTGCTGATTCTGATCTCATGCACGACGGTGGGTCACCGCGACCCTCCCAAATGTCAAATGACCCAGACTCCCAAGCAGGGCTGCGGAGTCGGAGTCGGAGTCGGTCGGAGTCGACAGTTCTGAGTCGAAGTTGGAGTCGGAGTCACCGAAAATCCATCGACTCCGCAGCCCTGCTCCCAAAGTATGAGCAAGGGCTGGCGGCTGCTCTCAACCCTATGCTATTAGCCAAACAGGAGCATATGGCTGAGACCAAGGCCCTAAAACATAGCTGAGACTAGAGGACTTGAGAGGAGTCAGTCGCCAGTCACTCGTCCCTTCGGTCAGGCTTTGGCGCTTATCTAGGTAAAATGCCTACACAGTTACAGGCGGCGGAACGGGGAGGGCACCGGGGCACCTGATTTAGGCATGTTAACATTAGCCCTATGGGCGTTGCATGGAAAGAATGGGACCAAAAGTCGGCAGTGCCCCCCCCCCCCCAATTGAAGGTGTTCCGCCGCTACTGTAGGTATATTAATAAAAATATAATTAAAAATAGGTTAACTAGATCCCACAGGCGCGTCATGACCGGAAGGCAAACGCTTGCCATCTTCGGTGGGAAAATAACCACAAATAGGTATATCTCGCGATCAGCCGGCTGCCCACTAGAGGTGGCAAAATGTGGACCCGAGGACCCGGTCCAAAGAACCAGTCTGGACCCATATGGGTCCAGACCGGTTCCTGGAAATTTGCTGACGGGTCCAACCGGGTCCTACCATAAACTATACATCTTGCGCACCACACACTATTGCAAAATATTAAGCGAATGAAGTGAATGTTTCTTTGCACACAGTAGCTCATGAGTATTCCCAGTGGGAAATAGGCTGTTTTACATGATGCAACTAATGATACCTACAAGTAGTTTGTATTAATTGACTTTTGGGGAACGGGTCCAACTGGTTCCGCGATTCCAACTAAGACCGGGTCCGACTGGTTCCAGAAATGTCCAGCCGGGTCTGGTTCGAGTCTGGTTCCCAAAATTTTCATCTTTTGCCACCTCTACTGCCCATGCCGCGGACGGCCTTCAGGGGATCACCTTCCAGGGATGGGATCATCTTCCGGGGGATCTATGGGATCACCAGGGAGCCTGGACCGGGCTGGAAGGTCTGGAGATGGCAAAGGCTGATTAGGTATTGATAGTGAGTGAGCAATAGACATTTTATAGGTACCTACATATGTAGTTATTTAGCTAGGCCCTCCGAACAAATTTATATGACCAGGTAATTCTGTTTCCCGCAACGGACAGATGATCGTGAGATATTATCTTACATGACATAGGATAGCAATAGCATAGGACCAACCAACAGTTATATGCAGATAGGATAGGATATGATAGGATGCAAAACCTATTACCTACCTAATAGGATATGAAAGGACACATACCTACCGTGTGACCGTATCCGGATGAGTAACCGGATGGTGAACATGACTGTGAGCGTAGTTGGAGCGGTGCAATTGTGAAATGTTACTGTATGATTATAATGGTTGGTGCCTAGTGTTTAACAAATTCCATTACATACAGTTCTCTGATAAGCGTGATCGGAGATGAGAAAAATGACTGTGTACAAACTATATCAAAATATATTAAAAACGCATTATACAGTGTGCACATGGATAAAACAAAACATCGCCCTAGTGCGCGGCGCTATCGGCTAGGGCCTCCCTTCCTAGAAGTACCGTCTATTCCTCATAGGCGGCCGTTTTCGCGACGTTGGACCTGTAGACGGGTCCGTTGCGGTACGAGGCCGGCACCTTGGCCACCGGCTTGTAGTCGCGGATGGGGCCCTGTTTGCGACCGGTCGGCTGCACCTCGTACTCGCTCGGCTCCGGGTAGGTCGCCTCGCCCTCGTAGGACACCTCGGCGTTGAAGCCGCCCGACTCGTCGACCGTGTACTTGACGGTCTGGATGCGGCCGTCGGGCAGCGCCACCGTGTAGAAGCCGGTGGTCTGGGTACCGTCGCTGTTCTCGTTGGCGGCGTACTCGGCGCCCGTCTCGGCGTTGCGGACGGCGTAGTCGAAGGCGTACGGAGACGGCCGGTACTGGTACTCCTCGACCTCGTAGTCACTGCTGCCGACCGGCGTCTTGAAGCCGCCCGGGGAGACGCTGTAGCCGCCCCTGCCGCCGGACTGCGGCCGTCCGGAGCCCTCCGGGCGCACCTTCTGGTCGGCGGCGACCACCGCCAGCAGGCAGACAGCGATAAAGGCCTTCATGGTCGGACTGTAAGCTGCTGCCGGGACTGAGCTGAAGCTGGAACTGTGCTGATGTCAGCGACGGCAGCAGCTTATATCGGCGACTATCGTGATCACGAACCCAAACACTAAACGTGATTAGGAACTGCTGGGCAGGTACTAGGAAGTTTGTCAACTCATGCCGGGCGGCGGTGGCAAAAACACAATTAGAAAACCACACCCTCCCGCAGCGCCGGGTCTGCCCGATCGGGCTGTGACGGATGTAGACGGACCGATCGACAGCAGTTGAACTTCTGTCCACTTTCACACCGGCGCCGGTTTTACGTCATGGCGTTGCGCGGCTGACGGACAACTCCCGTGTCCAGTCTGAGCACCAGCGGTGGGCGTAGCTGCACTTTCGTTCGGTGTGGGCTCGTGGGGACGCTGGGTGGTTCCGGCGCTGCCACTTTTTGTTCGTATTTACGGTGCTCACTGCTTAGTTCCCGTACCCCGTTCCCCGGTGCGGCGGTCAGAACATAGCGCGTGCCAGTAGCTGCGTGCACAGTACACAGAGGGACCGATGACGTATATACGCGCAATACCTACCAAGCATGCGTGAACTATGCGTAAACTCGCCATGACTGAGTGCCATGTCGGAACGAGAACTTTGAAATGCTTAAAATCTTGTTCACGGCAAAATTTCGTGACCGAGTCGTGAACTAAGCGTAAACTGTTCGTGAAATTGTCGTGAACTCGTGTAGATGCGGTAGGATGCGTGCCAGTGCGTGATAATGCGCGCCATGCTACGATTGTCACGAACTGCCACGAATAGGTCCAAGGGCGGATCCAGCAAATAGTTTATGAGTAGACTGTAGATTACGCATATTACGAATAGTTTGCACGTGGCAGGAGCAGTTCCCGATGAGTTCACGAGCAGTTGACAACGATTTCACGGGTAATTCACGACTTCTGCCGATAGTGGCTCTCGCGTCGGTGCGGTGTTTGCCATTCCAAATGACTAAACTGGGCATCATACTGTCAAAATCGTTTATTTCTGGTCAAAGATTTCCTGACCAACATTTTTTGTCTTTCTTCGAGGTGGGGCAGAGTTTTTCGTCAATGACTGCCGATCAAATTGAACCAGAGAGTCGGTAACGTCGCCAATTGACTTGGAAAGACCTACCGAATCGAAAGATATGCGATATGACTTTTTCGACTACCTTCGTGACCTGAGTGGCTCTAACATGACCTTCACCTGAGGTCAGCACCTTGAGTTGACCTCACCCAAACAGTCAATTCTGAGGGCACCTAAACGGATGTTTTAAAGTGATATTAAATTTTGCGCGACGCCTTAGATTTATTAGTTCACGAGTTATATGACAGCTTATCCAGGACGCCAAACTCGGTTGAATTTGAATTTGCTGACTTGACCTTGAAATTTGGTGTAGAAATGCCTAAGAGGTTTTTCCTAATGATTTTTGTCGACCCTCCAAACGCCGGCTTACTGTTTGTTGTTACGTGGCCTATCATATAAGTGGAGTTTGGGAGGAGCACGAAAACTCCCCCTCTCCTTCCGCCCAGGAAATTACGATCGGATCAGCGTCATGGCTCGCATTAAACATGGTGATTATTGATAAGTCAATTCAAACTTAGTTATACCTATTTGTGACAAAGGTTAATGCGCCTATATCAAAAGCTTCCCAGTCCCCAGGCTTTTAACCCGCGCACCGACAGGGGGTGCGGTTAACCGCCTCCTCCCGAGGGTTTTTGCGAATAGCGGGAAAACCGCGCCGCGAAATTTAGCATGACTTTACTCTTATCAATTTTACATATTGTGTGCAAGTTTGAACATCCTAACTTTTAAGGTCAGGTCACCAGGTCAACCGCGCCCCCGGCCAACCGCCCCCCCCCCCTGTCGGTTCTAAGTTGGCGCAGACCCCCGTCGGTGCACGGGCTAAGAGCTGCAGCATGACAAAAATGGCGCGGGTATTAATGACTAACTTTCTAGCACTTTCGCTCTTCTAAGCTTCCTTCCCTTCTGCGTTTTAAAGGCTCTGGAGACTCTCAAGACCTTGGATGCGGTACACGGTTGGTGCCATCAGAGGTGATTCGCAGAGGAAGCAGCGGCGATGGCGGTGTTAAAAATGCAAACGACGATGAGGCGCGGGCTGCCCATGTCTAGCCATCGGCGACAGTCATGCCAGGAGGCCAGCTAGCGTCCAAACCCACCCTACCATCTACATCGGGGAATGAGGCCACCCGGCGCCCAAGGGCATCGTTTGCCACTCCGAGGCCAAGTCTGTCATGCCTCAGCGTTCACTGTTCAGGTCCACTTACCTAACTTGGATAACGTGCTGCAGAAGCTGTGTGAAACCGTGAAGCGCTTTCGGGGAGCTCGTCGCCTACGGGATCCCGGAACCGTTTGTTTGTTTGTTTGTTTGTTTTGTTGGGTTAGGCCCTTTCGGTCTGACGAGACCATTTCAGGGCCGGAAGGATGATAGGATATAGGGGGAGACATTGGTCTGGGCAAGCACCCTAGTGAGTCACCGGGGCTGAGCCCGTCCAGAGGACAGGCCACCCAGCCCCAAGGTACCTACTCAGTGTACTCACTGCACCCGGCTACGGGGTGCGCTCCCTCGGGAGCAGCGGTGCCGCTCCAAAGGAGCAGCCCGCATGGGATAAAGTTGCCTGTCCAGCCCGGAGGGGGTTGCGGCGTGGAGGAGAAGGATTGCTGTATCCTGAGGATAGAAGCATGGAACGGTGTGAACCGTTGGCTCCAATGTCAAGTCGTCTCCCGATGCCAGGTGGTGGACGGTGCCGGTGGTCCTGGCCGGATCACGTCACCTATCCACCACCTAAAGCATAGCCAGGGGCATGGCCCCTAGCGCTGTTTTCTTGTCGAGAGGCTGGTGTCGGCGGATAGGACGGCTTCCGCGAGCTGGCGCCGCCAGCACTCTTATCTCCTCCCCAGCGGCACGGGTGCAGTGCGGTAGCGGGAGCTGGTGACTGTGGGTCCGTCACCCCCTGGTCGTACAACACCCTGGCTCGGGGCTTCTCGAGACTGGAAACGTATGACTACAAGGCGGACGGCGTCCACCGTGGCCCACTTTCCTACCGCACAATCCACGCTCCGATGGAGGAGGTAGTAACAGCAGCAGAGCTATTGCCGACGGCCCTAACTATTATACCTCCTAGGAATCAACGCATCGGTGATCGGAATGTAACGTAGTAAACGATAATAGGCAACACCCAAATGACGATCAAGTGATGATGACCGCAGATATCCACGCTGAAATGAGCGTCCCAGTAACCCAGTGGGCCTGCGGGATGGTGCGTTTCACATAGAGGTGGCGAGCGACTCCACCAACTGATTGGCCGCTCGGTCTGTTTTGTTATTTACTATTTGTGTTTACTGTGCTTGAGTGTCACTGTTTGATTTGCAGCCAAGATTTCAACTGTGTATTTTAATATTTAGTTTTTTTAATGTTTAATATCTTATGTAATTAATTGGTCGTTTATTTAAGTTGTTTGAATCATTATTTGAATCTATGTCATTGTTTTCGTTCAAAAATAAAATTATTTGCAAAATCATGTTTTCCATGAGTGTCATTCATCTTTTTTTCCGATTCCTAACCCGACACTTGAATCCTCGTCACACTGGTTGAGCGGCCACCATCAGAAGCTCCATAGTCCATTCCCTCACTCCGCTGCTGCTGGTTCTTCTTCTTCTTGGCTGCTTCTTCTTGTTCTTCTGTCCAGCGATGTGCGGCAGGCCGATCATCGGGCCTCCCTCTGCTGAAGGAGGCCAGTCCGTCGCATGAACCGGACGACAGCATCCGGTGTTCGCACCGAGCCGATGAGCTAACGGATGTAAAGCGGCTGTGAGTGCGACGATACCTCCACCCAGCTTTAGCTGAGCTGCGATTGTTGAGAGACATGCGACAGGTGCGGTGGCATGCCACTCGTTCAACACAAATTACCTATTTATAGTCACCGTGAAATTACCCTTGTGACAGGGGGACATAAATGCCCCCTCAATGTGTTATCGAACAGACCGCACTGCCCTGGTCCGGGTTATAAGGGGGCTATTGCCCTCAATCTCTCCCCCATAGACACCAGTGGCTAGAATTACCGTTAGGCATCAGCTAGATGATGCCGGCCCGATTGGCTATCTATTTTTATGTGATCTGAATTTCACACTTATTTTTTATTTTGTCCTGACGTTTTACAATTTCGATATATTTTTGTCCTCTTTCCTTTGCTTCTCTTTTAGCAGATCGCAGGCATCGCTGCATAGTGAAGTTGAAAGCGTAAGGGAGACGGACAAAAATGTTGATGTAGTTACCAGCGATCAGCAGATGCATAGGTGGCGGAACGGGGGGGGGGCACCGTGCCCCCTTTGATTTTGGCATTTTAACGTTAGCGCTATGGGCGTTGCTTGGAAAGAATGGGACCAAAAGTCGGCAGTTCCCCCCCCCCCCTCCTTAATTGAAGGTGTTCCGCCGCTACTGAGCAGATACGATTTCTCAGCCGAGTGCCGCCTGCCTACCAGTTTGTCGGGCGGCCGTCGTCCACCGCTGCTCACGCGCTAGGTAGACTGTGCCGCCGCACAGCGGAGTACATCTGACAGCCTATCTCCCAGTGTGGTCCGAGCTCGAGAAACGAAAAGGGACATCATCGGTTGTGTTTCGAGAAGGGGACACATGCGGCATTGTTTTGCATCCTTCAACACCCGTTACCTGTCTCAGCTACTTACTGTTGATGCTTTCTTCAGTCACGCTTTTGCATTTTCAAGAGTCAAGATAGTCTATATTCAGCAATCAACCGAGATTCATCCCGCGTAGACTCGGGGAAACCTGCATGGACCGCCTTGAAATTTACACATGAAAGAGGTCTTATTGCAGAAAAGAACGTTACGGGAAGCATTCGGTGGCGCTCCTAGCCGTCCTTCCTTGAGAGGCTAACAAATGTCTATCACGGGTCCCGATTTTGACAGAATGATTTTTCCAGTGCACGGAAGGTCATGGCCCTTCCAGTTGAGC